TTATCTTAAAGTAAACTAAAATGTCCTTCATAACATTCACAGCCTAATCATATGAATCACGAATATTGCCAATCTGATACACCAACCCAACAATTGCTCCATCATCACTCCTAGCACGCTTTTTACCTGACAACATCATCCTAGCATTGCTTGAAAGAGCAGAACAAATTTCATCTTTATCATCTCCTCTCTCCTTATTTCCTTCGACATTGATATCAAACTCAGGAGATAAATAAGCATTTTTATTAGCATTTAATGATTCAACTACATTAGCTGTTGTTTCAGCTCGTTGACTAATTACTTTATCAGATTCGAATATCATTTTAAAATCATCAAAAAATAGGAAAGGTTTATTCCATACCCTTTAGCTATAATATCATCTAAAAAAACTTACTCGAGCCCACTCATCAAATGCTTCTTTCTCAACTATGATACATTTTTCTTGATCATTCCATCCAAATCCACTAAAATTTTTCATATCACAAATTGCATGATATTGTCTCTTAAGCAACTTAATCATGGATTTGATATAAGGGGTGACTTTAAATTGTGACGTAAGAATGACTTGCTACAGCATTTGTTTAATATAACCTAGATATCCGACGTGGAATGTCCCATTATCTGCTTTTTATCTAGGATCATTAGCCAAAGAATGTAGGCATTGAACCCAATGCGAATCCTCCTCTCTAGTCCATAAATGATTGCCAAAGCTAGAACTATCCAATCATTTTCTGGATGCTCATCGAACGAATTGCGATGGATTGTCATGAAATGAAGACATTTCAATTCCTAATCAAATGGTTAGTCATTTTGAAACAATATCAATATTTTAAATAAAAAACAATCAATGGAACGAAATAAATGAATAAACATGGAAATAAAGTAATGTGTTCTCCAAATTGTAATATTCATTAGACACTCTCAACCATTTGGGTAAACAAATAATAAAATACAAAATATATCTATAATGTTATTATTCTCCAGATTACAACCAATGGATGAACGTATCATTAGTCAAATTATCTCTAAACTGAGTCCAATAATCAGATGGCTCAACATACGTAATCAAATATTGATGATCAGATTCACGTGATTGGAAAATACTTTTTTTGGTAACATCCCCTTCAATATAATCAAAAACCATCTCAAACATAATAAAATTATAGATAAGGCAACAAGCAGAAATGATTATACATTGTGCCTTAATTGAAGAAAATAATTTCTTCCTTAAAATTGTCCATCTAGCTTTCAATATATCAAAATTTTTCTCGATAAAATTTCTTACTTAAAAGTGTTTTATATTAAAGTATTCCTATAAGGTCATCGGTTGGAGTCCTACCCTATAATCATTGAGATGGTATCGTTGACCTCTATAAAGTGTCAAGAATCCTTTCCTATTTGTATATCCAGCATCACATAAATAGTAATTACCTGTTAGAATGATCAACAACGTTATTAATATGGAAATAAGCAACATCGTTATTAACATAACACAAACATAATACAAACAATACCTTGTGGGATCCTCAACCCATTCCTTTGTGTAATGGTATCCCTTAATACTCTATCATCTGCTGAAAAACCTTCCCATCCTAGTAGAACATATATGAATTGCATATCTAAGGTGCAAACACTAAGGGCATTGAAAGCAATTTTATTTTTTCTAGTCTTGTATCTAAGTCGGTCAACTACATCAACATTGACTTTAATGTATGTCCCATCTAACGCACCCAACCCTTAAACCATTTTCATCTATTATTTGTTGAATTTTTTATTTGGGTTTGGTTTTTTAAACAACAGCGTATGCAATCTTAAAATAGAATTCAATGCAAAATGAAATTATCTACTAATTGTCTTTTCAGATCTAATCACTTAACACTTCATAATCTTATTTTTTGTATGATAAGCAATAATGTGGAAGAAGCTAATTACTAGTTTTCTATTGACATATGTTTAGATGACTGTAACCTCTTTTTGTTTTAAGCAAATGACATAATTTTGCAATAGCTCTTTTGTCCATTCTAATATGATTTATACACTGTATATCACTCTCAAAGACTATTGCGTTTAAGTTTAACTATCTAATATATTGGCTATCATAAAATGTTCTACCATAAGATAGTCTACATCATTTTCTTACGTTAATATTTAATAAAGTCACAACAAAACATAACAAATGCAACAAAGTCTTCGTCTGGTTCAATTGTATCATAAGCAATGTAACCAATCGCATTTTTCTTAGTGAAAAACTAGCCATAACTGTTTAGAAAAAAGAATATCATTAAAATTGAAAACATAATGGAAAGTAAATCTTGGCATAAGGTGGATGGAATTCCTCCACATCATCAAATAAAATATAAATCACAAACAAAATATTGGAAGATTAAAATGAGCTAAAATAATTTAACAACAAAACATATAATATATATCAAAAACGCCTTTAATCCAAAGCTAAACGACATCTAAAAAATGAAAAATAAGTTTATTGGAAGGTAACATGGATTACACACTATCAATCAAAAAGTATACACACCGTTTTGTGTAAAAATTAACGATAAATTTAACAGGACGAAGATTAAATGACGGACGAGGAAGCTAAAATTTTTTCAAAGAAAAAAGTAAATGCTATGAACTAGGATCTGTTGAATATAAATTTCAATTGTTTTTGTAATTGAAAAATGAATAAGACATGGAATAAGGCGTTCCATATACATAATGCCATAGTTGATAGTTATATTCTCTTCTGCTTCACAATTAGACATTAGAACATTCATATTGTCAAAACACGATCATCGAGAAGGAAAAAAAAATTAATATGGGATAATTAAGTCGGTTGTAGGAAGAAACACTTCAATTGATAACCAATAAAGCCATTTTTCCATACAAACACCTTAATAATTTATTTATAGGTGTATTTGAAGAGAGATCGTGTCATAACACTCTGATCTATGAACATAAAAAAGAATAATTTTTAAATAATGATCATTTAAGGCATTTCTTCCAGAAATGCCTTAAATAACTTCCATTTAATTTTTGTAAGAGATTATTCAAGGCGTTTAAAGATCTGGAATAATCCCCAATAAAAAATTAGAGGGAATTATTTAAGGCGTTTTTGGTCAAAAACACCTTGAATAATCTCCTCATAAAAATTAAAGGGGATTATTATAAGCATTTTGAAGATTATTGAAGGCATTTCTTACCAAAAATATCTTTAATAATCCAAAAAAAAATGACAGGAGATTATTTAAAGCTTTTTTTGCCAAAAATACTTTCAACAATCCCTTCCAAAAAATTGGTCAAGATTATTGGCCAAAAACGTCTTCAATAATCCCTTACAAAAAAATTGAATAGAGGTTATTCAAGGTGTTTCAGGCCAAAAACGCATTCAATAATCCCCTTATAAAATTTTTGGAGATTATTCAATGCTTTTTTTTATCAAAAACGCTTTGAATAACCCTATTCAATTTTTTATAAGAAATTATTGAAGGCGTTTTTCATACCAAACGTCATATATAAACCAAATTTTTTACTAACAGAAACTTACAACTGAATTGCATTCATTTCTAAACATGCTTTTCAAAATGATAACAATTATTTCATAATTTTTAAGTCAAGGCAAATTTGAAAATAATACTACTTTCTCCCTCAAAATCCTCGAATACCACATAGAGATGTGAGTTTTTAATTTCAAGACTTTAACTGTTGAAAATCTATCAGTTTTTTTTAGAATCAGATTATCTTAAGCCAAATGTTAAAATCAAATACCCAATAGTAAGATTTCAAGAAAAGATGTGTGAATTCCTCTAACCAAACTCTCTCTTATAGTGAGAGGAATTTAAAATATTTTTAAAATTTAATTGTCTTATAATTTGTTTTATTATTTTTTATTTAAAATTATGATTTTTTTAATTTATTATTTTATCACCAATTTATTTTTTCTCTAAAATCAGATAAATTTTTTATTTAAAATCAAACAAATAAAAAAAAAATTTTTCATCTTTTCCTTTATTATTACCACCTTTCATAAATGTTTTTTACTCCTTTTCTACCTCTAAATTTTTACAACTTGATTTTTTTTTTTTTAATTTTGGTGAATCCAAAATCATACCAAATGAAATTTTAAATTCCTTTTTTCTCTTCCCATTTTTTATTCCAATTTAAACATCGATTTTCAGGTTAAGACCATGGGTAGTTATCGGCATTCTTCTTGGTTCACTCATAGTCTAAACTTTGTTTCTTCTCTCACTTCACCTCACAACTTGTCGCAAATATTACAGACATCAACATGTGAACCTTATGCCACCAATCTCCAAAGAGATCCAAGAAATAATCCACCACCCACCAGCACCAGATCACCACCATATCACCCGTCGGTGTCGGAGATTCAAGTGGACTTGGTAAAAGGGAGCCCAATGAGAAAAGTAGAGGGCCGACGAGTGCAGGTGCGATTGTGAGTGAGACGGCGTCGTTTGAGAGTGGAAGTGAGGTGTCGGAAGTGTGTCATCTTGGTTGAGGAAGATGGTGAGTATAATTTGAAGATGGAAGGAAAGAAGGCTTGGGGAGATGGTGATGAATATTGTGTTGGTGGCCTGGGTAAAGTTAGGAGACGGAAAGAAAGTTAAATTCACGACGTCTAGCAAAACGGCCATAGAGTAAATCATAAGTGGGATAAATGTCATATTTTAAACTTCAAGAATCATTTTAAAATCATCTCAAATTGCAAAATGATTTTATGTAATTTACTCATTTATAATTTATCTTATATAATAAAAAAGATAAAAATATTGATTTTCTTTAAGAAATTAAAGAAAAAAAAAAACTACACTTCAAAGCTAGATTGGACTAACAGTGAAAACAAAAACAATGGATTTTTTAGTTTAATTCAACCCCTTCATTGTATTTTTTTTCTAATTACTTTTCAATAAATCAATTATTAGTTTCAAAATTAAATTTAATCCCTTTACTATTTTCATTAAGCAGGTTTGATCTCTCAACATTAATTTTAGTTGATTCAATGCTAACACTTTTATTAATAATGAAATGAAGGAAATAGCACAAAAGGTCTGAATAATTTTTCATTTTTGTTTCAGATTCAGCAAAAGAATATGTTGAAGAACCTCACAGTGCAACAATTGCATTTGTCTAACATCAAATATGCCCCTATGCTCATAAAAAGAAAATGAAAATGGTAAAATGAAAAAAAAAAAAAAAATCTTCTGGTGTTAGAAAATTCACCACCCAGCAAGGCCTTGTCAACCTAACAAAAAGCTAATAAATAGTTTGCATAATGCACATTGATGTTTCTAGGATAGGACACCATTATCAAAATTCAATTTAAATTAGAAGCCACATTTAATCAGATTAAGGAACAGGGTACATTCTCCTTTGACAACATGAAATTGCATGTTGAATAAATGGAAGCAGCAGCTGCCCTCACAGCCAATTCCCTGTCAAAGCTATCCTCCATCCCTGACCTGCATGAAAACATGACTAAATTGTAAAAGATTCATAAATATCTGCATTGCAGCCAGAGGTAAATGTGATTGGACAAAAAAATTCTTAATAAAAGTTCCTGACAACCAGTCAACATAAAATGCAGGAACAAGCAGATGGATATGAATAGATGTTGATATCAGCTAAATTCTTGACCTATATTAAGCTAGATAATAGCACATATATAAGGCCTTTTTGGTGGGGTTGCAATTGACAGGATCCAAGTATAGGGTGGGAGATTGAACATCAGATTGAAACTTGCCAACCATTAAGGTGTGGGTATCCGGCCACAAGGTGAAATTTTAGCCTGCATATGAATTTAGATCATATAATGCAATGTACATCCTAAACAACATATAAATGATATCTGAAGGCAACGATCAACATCAGGAACAAAGAATGAAAGTACAAAACCATTTTAAATGCTTGGCACAAAAGCAAAATTTTACAGACTTGTATGATGGATGAAGCAACAAAATCCTTTTGGTCTTGGATGCCCAATTTCAACATTTTTAGTTTTCATACAGAAGTTATCTGTCATGAGAAATTCCAATGGATATAAAAAACCTAAGGCATATCCAACCATAATAATACCAAAATAAGATTAAAACTATACTCAAACCTGACATTATTTCCTGATGCTTCTAGTTGTGGTGAACTGTAAAGCATGTTCCAATGCATATGTTGCAAGCCCTGATCACAATGCAGTTGCAACCATTTTATTTGGTTCAACCAGTTTTCCTGGAATATAAGTAGGAAAGTAAGAAAGGTTAGAGATACCCTTCTTTCTGAACATAAAGGTTCTACTTAAGAGGAAATAGACTGAGAAGAAGAAAATGAACTTGAAGAGGTAAAATTCAATTAAGTAATCAATGCCCTATTTTCACCAACATGTAAGGCGCTTGGCTTTAATAAAAGGTAGCACCATATCATCTACCTTTCCTACTGGCAAAGGATTATCAATAAAAAGAATATCTAGGATTAAATTATACAGCCTAAGTCCCATGACTTCCAAACTAACACTAGAGACAGCAACTATAGTCTTCTTCCAGTAAGAGCTCAAGTACCATTCCTTTAAATAACAGTACACATGACAAGTTTTCTGCAGCTTACTAGTTGTTTCTCTTCTTCAGAAAGAGATTTATCCATCTGATCAAACAGTGCACTCCATCTTGCTCTATGCATCTCAGCAGTAGCATCGAGGGAAAATCCATCAGCTGAATTTCTTATGATATTAGGATCGATCCCTTGGCTAGAGGAGAATTCTTTTGATATTAGAAAGGGCAGCTCTGTTGTAATTACGGCTAGCACTTTCTTCTTGCTACGTTGCAATGCTGCAAATGCAGAGAATAATACAACAAAAAAGGTACATAAATACATATCCCATTCTAACTCTAAATGTCTAGTAACAATATGGGTGGAGGAGAAGTACCTGAAAGACGTCCTTTAATATCTTGCTGAAGAAGTTCCAACCATTTAGATGCAACAGTGGCAGCTGAAAAATAATGTCTCATTTATATGAGTTTGGGCAATATTTTCTTCACTACGGTCACCAGAAAAACATGAATCATCTTTAGCAACTGAAGATAATGGATTCCAGATAGCTTCATTGTACAGACAACAGCAAACATTGGGCATCCACATCTTGCTCAATTGCCCATTTTTTTTTTCATGAACAAAGATGAATATGTTAAAGAATAAGCTCTCTGTACCATCACTCAACTACCTTCTTTTCAACATCTATTCGTCATCACAAATTATTCTCACATTTTTCAAGGATGTTCTGAAATAAAGAATTAGATAACTAATATAAATTCTGACCTTTTACAGAAAGAGAAGAAGCACTGGTAAAGTTTGTTGATTCGTCATTAGACAAAGAGCGACCATTCTCAGATGCCTTAGTTGATGATGACAACTTCAATGCCAGTGCATCATCCTCGCTGACTGGGTCTACCCTGCTTGAAACACCATCTCCATATCTTTCCTCCGAAATTGAGGACAAAGGCTTATGCATTGGCACTAAATAACCTCTTGCTATCTTGGTCATGGATGTAGTATTTGGATGCCCATCTTCATGGTAATAACTGAGTCGATGGAATCCTGAATCATTCATATTTCCATGATCCTTCTTACCACCATCATCTTTATTTCCACCTTTGACATGACTTGCCTGTTTGGTTTCTGAATGCAAATTTTCAAGTTTTTCACGCTTCACTAAGGCCTCTATTATGGAATGGACCTGTTTTCTATTTCTAACATGATTTATAATGCCAGGGTTTAAACCATTGAGCAGTCCACTTGGAGCAGCAATTTTTGTGAACCTGTCAGCCTGCTCTTTCTTTGCAAGTTCCATCCTCTTCTTGAGCTCATCATTCTTACTTTTCCTCCCACGTTGCTTGGGCACTGTTATTCCACCATGAGAAGATGACGGTAAACCATTTTGCATAAATATACCTCCATGAGAAGATGAAAGCAAACCATTTTGCATAGATATACTCCCATGAGAAGATGAAAGAAAACCATTTTGCTTCATCTCTTTCCAAATTCTTAATGAGTCATTCTCCTCCACTGGACCAACAGAACTTCCACACTCAGAAACATCCGTTGGCTTCAAATTTTTGACATGTTTGTGACAAGTTGATTCATGGTTTATTGAGCTAGAAACATCTTTCCCATTCAGATCCAAGCCAACGCCTTTTGAGGTTACACAATCACTCTCTTGTGAACACAATTTGTCCAAGTTTTCTTTACCTTTCGGATTGTTATCACAGGATTCATTGACAGCAATGTGAATTTCAGTGTTAAGATCAAGAGGCCTAGAGACAGGATGGACCACTGCTGAGAACTTTTCCCCTTTAGCTCGTTCAACTTGAGAACCATCAAAATTGAATGTTAATGGTACCTCTGAAACTTGAGATACCCCCTCTTCACTAAACTGCAATGGCGGACTAGAATCTTTTCTTTTTAAAGACTTGGAATTATGGGCATTGATCTCTGTTGCATAAATGAAAGGAAAAAATGAAAAAAATTTTTCAAAAATGTCAGTTTACAATTAGAAAATAGTAACAGACAAAAAAAAACTGCGTTCATTATAGAATATCATTGCAAATTTGATTCTTTTTTTTTCCCAAATTCAAGCAGAAACGGGGAGAAAAGGGCACAAATAAGGCTACCAAAACAATAATCAGTTCTAATGTTTAAGAAGATCAATTTTCCAATGATTCAAATGAACAACAGCCCCCTTCCTACCCCCAAAATAAGCATAAAAATTTACCATAAGAGCGGACGACGGAATCAAGATCTCTCATTTTGATTTGCATAGATGAAATTGCATGTCCTTCCTCCAAATCATCAATGCTACTCTCCACTCCCACCAACTAAAAAGCAATTCAAAACCAAGAAAATGAACAAGAAACTTTGAACGCAACAAAAGAAAATTGAAGAAAAAATTAAAAAGCCAACCTTGGAATCAGATCCAGGCATGAATACTAAGCCATTAGAAACCATGGCCGAGTCAGCTTGATCTTCCATTTCTTCTAAACAAAACCCAAATTTCAAAACTTTGCAAGAACCAAGTTCATGGGATTTGAGAAAGAATCAAGAAAAGCTCCAAAGTTTGGAAGAAATAGAGATTTTGCTGAAATGGGAATTTGAGAATGTGTAAAACTGAAGGGAATTTGGCGTCTCACATAGGGTGGATCTGCTGCGTTTTGGCTTGGTTTTTTTTAATATTAAGTTCAAAGCGGAATCTGGGTTTTGTGGTTTTGGATTTGAATTTGCAGAAGAGAGAGAGGAAAGGAAGAGCGCGCTTTTTAGGATTAAGAAAGGCTGTTGTCTGAGGAATTTTTATATATTGAATTTGAGGGGCAAAGAAAAGAAACAAGAAACAACGTGGGATTGCGTTGCTGAGATGAGTTTATGGTTTTGTTTTTTCAAATTCAAATACGATGGAGGGACTCTTGCCGCATTTGCCACGCCTTCAACCCCGCGTTTGTGCGCCAATCTCACCCTTTTGCCCCTTGTTTCCTATCCATTTTAGGGTTGAAAAGAAATGAAAAGGCCGAAAATTGATTTGGAATAGTAGTATTTAGTTTCATTCGGATTTTTTTATTTAATTTGAATGAAATTTTAATATTAAATATTTTTTTTTATTTGGATTGAATTTTGGATTAAGAGATGAATATTTAAAAAAATTGAAATGAATTGAATTATATATTTTTATTAATTTTAATATATATTTTAAATTTTTATAAAATAAAAATAAAAATTTTATATCAAAATTTATTTGAATATATCAAAATAATATATAAAAATAAAAAAATTAAATTTTAAAAATTAATAAACTGAACCAAATTAAACTAATAAAATTTGATTTGATTTGGATTAGATAATATAAAGAGTTGATTCAGATTTAGATCAAATTTTAAAATTTTAAAATTTTATAATATTATATAATATATGAAAAAATGAACTAAATTCGATTCAATTCGAACAATTATTCCTTAATCTTTTTAACAATTTTTTAAGCTCATTTTTTATACATTGTAGTCGAATTTTTTTAATTTTACAAAAAATATTAGAATATTATTATGTGTTTTATTTTTATATAAATGTATTAATTTATAGATATACAAATATGAGACAAATTCTTAATTTTTTTATAAAATTTTTAAATTTTATTCATGATAAATAAGATAAAAAAATTTTATACATATAATTTTGAATTAAAATAATAAATTTAATATTCTTGTCTCATCACTTTTATCATTTTTTCAAGATTTGAACTTGAGATTTCCAAATTAAGAATAAAATATTTTTAACTATTAGGATATTTCTTTAAAAAATAATTAAGTTTGCTAATTCAAATACCATAAACTATATAGGTATATTCATATATTTTAATTTTTGTTAAGTTTTAAAACTATATTTGAAACTTCTAAATTAAAAATCAAAGATATTTAAACATTAGGATAGCTTTTCAAGGGGATCATATCACTTGCAATTAAATTTCTTACAATCCTACAATTTGTTAATTTGAACCAAAGAGGTATTGACATATGGACATGAAATCTAGGTCACTCTCCATGACTAATGTTAATGGCAAAAAATAGATCGTGTCTTTGGTAATTTCTCTCAAATGAAAATTTATGTTTATCTACCCAAATTGTATCTTTCAATTTTCCTTCTTCTTAAAAAATCAGAAACCATCATATCAGAATCCTTCTATGCTAAAACAATTGAAGACAATAGCAATCAAATACTTTAAAAAATCAAGGTTTTGGTAAGATTAAAGCTTTTATTTTTATCAAATTTGCCTTTAAAAAAATCACTCAACCCATCAGCCATTTTATTGAAATTCTTGGTTCTTTAATTCAATTGACAATTCCTCAAAGTAAACTTTGTTCATCAACTAGGCTTTCTTAGACCTCCATTGTTTTTAATATGTTTGATAAATTGTCACAATGGTAACCATTCGATTTTTCTTATTTAATTTTTAATATCTTAACAAATCGTTTCATTTGGCTTAGTATAAAAGTTAATAAACCTAAAATCTTAATTAAAAATAGTACATGTAGGTATCAATAATGTCTTCTCTTTTTTTTTTTTTTTGTTCTTGTTTAGTTGGTAAATTCATAATGCTAGTTTCATATATAGTAACCAATTAACTTTATCTAGGTATTTCTATTTATCCTGAATGTTGCTAAAACTACTATTATTTTTGCCTTCATTTTTTTTCCTATTTTTTACCCCATTCATAGGTGGAAACCAGGATTCAATTGTTTTTATTGATTTACTTGATAGTAGTGTAACTACTACAAATGGTTGCTAAAGACTTTTTAGTATAAGGTATTTTGACAGTAATGCATGTATATAGTTGCTAAGTATCCTAGCAAATAAGCTAATAAGGAACAAATAGGCAACCATTAAAAAAAAGTATAAATATAGTTTATCCTTTTAGCATTAATGTTAATAAACAATTTGTTTTTATTGGAGCAAATATAATGGAAGACAATTATGACCCAAGCAAGGCAATACTGAAGATGGCGCCAAAGTTGAATATGCAATTTGAATAAGAAAATGAAGTTTATTGGTTTTATAACAAGTATGCTGAAATGCGTATGTAGTGTCTCAAAGATTTGTTTGCTACAAAAGTGGTTTTCGAGTATTAGACAAATGTTACACAAAAGTTAAGATGCCTAAAAAACAAGTAAGAACATGTTGCTTAGCGTGTATGACTATTTCTTGCCAGTCCAATGAAAAATATAAAGTCACCTATTTTGAAAAAAATCATAATCATAAGTTTGTATCTTCAGAAAAAGCTCACATGCTGTCCTCACAAAGAAAGGTGACTGTTGCTCAAGCTATTGAAGCAAATATGTTAGATAATTTTAGTATTCCACAAAAATCAACCATTAAGTTCATAAGTAGACAAGTAGGAGGTCAAGAAAATGTTGGTTATCTCCTCATTGATTATAATAATTATTTGTATTCAAAATGAATGAGAGATATGAAAGAAGGAGATGCTAAAAGGTTGTTAAATTATTTCCAAAAACAACTGTTAAAGAATCTTTCATTTTTTTATGCTATACAACTTGATATGGATGGTTTGATAACTAATGTGTTTTGGACAAATGCAAGAATGGTACTTTACTATGGCCATTTTGGTGATGTTTGCTTCGATACTACCTATAAACTAATAATCTTTCTCAACTACTTGTATCATTTGTTGGATTGAATCGTCATAAAAAAATGGTACTTTATAAGGCTGTGTTTTTTTATAATAAGTGTATTGAATCGTTTGAGTAGCTTTTTAAAACATTTATTCAAGCAATGTCTGGTGAAAAACTAATAACTATTATTATAGATCAAGATCAAGCAATGGCGAAAGTTGTAAAAAATGTATTGCTTGAAACTATTTATTAATTATGCATTTGGCATATGTGGATCGAAAAATGCAAAAAGACATTTGGGGCAGCAATTTCAAATGCATATCACCTTGGTTAAAAAGTTTTTATATTACATTAATGATATTTTATACGAAGAAAAGTTTGTTCATGCATGAAAAGATATGATTAGCAAGTATAATCTTCAAGGAAATACATAATTGGTTGAAACTTTTGAGAACAGAGAAAAGCTGATAATGGCATTTTGAAAGAAAATATTTAGTTCAAGTACTTATCTAAGTGAAAATTTCAATAACCAATTGAAGGAGTACCTGATTTTAGAGTTAAATGTGGTTCGATTCCTCAATCATTGTGAAAGGTTAGTGGTTTATTTATATTACAATAAGGTAAAATCTAATTATGACATGAGTCAATGCATTCTAATAATGAAGGTGATTGCAACCATGTTAAGGCATGCGAGAGATGTTTACACTCCTAATATTTTTAAAGAGCTTCAATAAGAATTTGAAAAAAAATTTGATCTAGTTATTGAAGATTGTAGTAAAAATGAATCATTGTTTGAGTGCAAGATCAATATTTTTAGAGAATATCAAAATTATTTTGTTAAATTCAACTCTTCAAATAATTTGATCTGTTGTACTTGTATAAAGTTTAAATTTTAGGAAATTCTCTGCTAGACTCAAGAAATATCAAGTTTGTATCCCCAATAAATACATTGTAAAGAGATAGATGAAAGCTATAAAGCTTAGAAGTATAAAAAAACATCAATGGAAGCACTATATAAAAAGATCTTAAGTTAGCTATAAGGAATCAATACAAAAAGTTGAATAGGAATGCAATTAATAACGATATAAATTTTTAAATTCTGACAACATAAAAAATCACCCAAACAAGTAATTAATCCAAAAATTAATTAAATCATCACGAAATTAGGTCCTAATTTCACACAATTAGGCTTTGATACCACATTTAAGCACAAACTCAAGATCAATGTATGAAAATTAGAATACCATACATGTATCAAAGAGATCGAACTTACCTGTTTGGATAGTCATCGTGAAATTACTTATACGAAATGATCCTGAAATAGCTATGATCTTCCACTTTTCTATTCTCTTATTTTGTAACGGTTTCTCAATGGACAATTATCGAATGTTGAAAAGTAAAGAGGAGACCTTAACCTGTTATTTAAATAACCCTAGTAACCTTTTGATTAAAGGTTTATTGGACCAAAGGTCTACACAAATTGATAAATCACACTGACCCAATAAGATGTGTAAAAGCCCATATTTAGGTAATCACATAAAATTAATTGGGCTCTCATATTTGTCTCATATTAAAACTAACTCCATCAACTAATTTTATTAAAATTAAAATCATCAATTAATAATCACTCACTTACGAAAAATTCTAACATAATTCTCTCTTTAGTTTATTGGAAGGGTCAAGATTAGAAAATGATATATATATATATATATATATATATATACAAGGTTCTGGTCATTGACAACGTTGGCTTTGTTCATTTGGATTTCCGAATCAATCTTGGGGTTGTGATAGGGTGAAGTTTCCTAATGCTTTTTGGCATCTAACTTAGCATCTCACTTCTGCGAAATTCCAACATCCAACTCAAGCTCTTATTCTCTACCTTCATACCTTCTGGAAATTCATGTAACCTATTAAAAGTTTTAAAATGGAATATTATCACATTTTTTATTCATCGTCAATTATTAATTAGTTTATGTGTATATATGATATCTCTTTCTCTTTAAATAACCTTCGAATTGATTATTAAGTTTTGGATTAGTTAAGATATTATTGAAGTTGATACTTAAAGGTTATGAATTTAAAAGAATATATATACTTAATATTTTTTTTAACCAAATAAATAGTAAGATAAAAAATTTAAGAATATTTTAGAAATTAAAAAAATAACTCTTTAAATAAAATTTAAAAATTTTATTAATAATTTATGAGGTAAATTTTTCTTGGATAACATACACATAAAATTTAGATGTCCAACAATGATTAATGTTTAATTTTATTTTAATTTGAAAATAATTAAAAGAGTTAACAAATACATTATTCTTAGTCTTTAACCTTAAAATTTAATTTTAAAATAATAAGATAGTTTAAGATATAAATATTTTTGGAGGATATTTATATTAAAATTAACTTATTAGAATATGAGGCTTTATTTAGTGCACATGCAACATGTTTGAATTTAAATCTCAAAATTTATATTTTCTTTTTATATTTTTAAATTATAGACTTTTTTATAAAAAAAAAATTAACTCATTAGAATAATGCATGTTATGGTTTTTTTTTTTTAACATAATAGTGCATGTTATGGATAATAATTAGATTTTCATTAGAATTCATATTTAAATACACATTTTTTAATCTAATTTTAAAAAATAAAATACCTTAATTTTTGTGTTTTAATGATTAAATAACTTGTCATTTTATCTCATAAAAAAGGAGGAGAAAAGCATGGGTTACATTAATGCTCCATATCATATTGCATACAAGAGGGAAATGATAAAAATAAAAGACACAAAATGACTACTATGTCCTCTAGCATGATTTTCTAGTGGTTGATTGTAGGAGAGTGTGACATAGGTGAAATGTAGATGATAGATACCTAAGTGGCCCGGAAAGGGAGGGATTATTGGTGAAAAAAAAATTGAGAAAATTAAAAATTGATTTGAAATTGTATTATTTAATTTAATTTGAATTTATTATTTATTATTTGATTTGGATTAAATTTAAATATTAAATATATATATATTAAGTTTGAATTATTTTGAATCAAAATATAAAAAATTTAAAAAAATTAAATTGAATCGAATTATATATTTTTATTAATATATATTAAATTTTTATAAAATAAAAATAATTATTTATATATAAATTATTTAAATATATTAAAAATTTTATTAAAATAATATATAAAAATTAAAATTAATAAATTCAATTAGTAAAATTCAATTCAAATTAAATTAATTAAAAAAATAATCAATTTACCTTCAAATCAAATTTAAAAAAATTTGTAATTTTATATATTAATTAAAAAAATAAAATCAAATTCAGTCTAATCCGACTTATTATCACCCCTGAAAGAGATACGCAAGAGAAATAGGTTAGATACGAGAGTGAAAAATGAAGAATGCGACAGTTGGTGATGGGGAGAAAAAAGGCACGTGGTTGAACGCGTTCATTGCATGCAGACTAGTGTACGCCGCCACACGCTCTCCCTCTCACCAACCGGTTTCTTAAACATTCACCATGTGACTTCCATGTTCATAATTTCTTTAACCGATAAGAACGTTGGAAAACAGAGCAGCCAGATTGCAGAAGCAATGGAATAACTTGTTCTGTATTTATCTTCAGAAAAAAATAAATAAATAAAAGAGCAGTGAACCGATCTCTGACCATGATACTATACTATTCACAGAAATTAAGTACTGTATTATGCTATGAGACTGGTTATGACTACATTGATCTATACGGTAGTGGGGAGAAGTCATTGGTATATCAGTGTATGTACACAGAAATTAGAGACTTAATTCTCAGCAATATATGATTTCTTCACACATACTTATTCTTGGGATAAAATCTGCTACAAGACAGATGCTGGGGATCAAATTACTTATCTGCCCCTTCAAAAATGTTCATGTTCATGTGTTACCTGCATCACCTATGGATCCCTACAAGTTGGAACTCAATAATTAATAGTTGTAGGATAATATTTTAACAGACATTCATCATGTATAGGTAAAGATAAATATTTATCAAATGACAAATTTAAAAAGAAAAATAGATTAGAGTAACAAGCAAAAAAATAATAAAATAATATTAAAATTTGTCTTGAATCTCGTAATCTCACATTAAAAGTTATAAGAGTTTTGAATTTATTTTGTATGGGTTTCACCCTTAAATAAAATGTTATGATTTTAATTTGATAATTTCAGATAGTTAAACATTAAGATAATAATTAAGTGAGTAAGCTATTAAAATGAAGTAATTAAATTTTAGGTTAAATTTTGAATAAAAAATTTTTTGTGATTTTTTTTATTTTAGAAGTCTCACAATTATAAAGTTTATTTATTAATAAATTTAGTTTAAAGTACATTATTTTAAGTTAGAATAAAATAAATATATTTATGTGTTTTTATTTTAATTTTAAACTTATTATTTTGTGTGTAAATGTTACATGTGTATATTTATTAACAATAAATATTATTTTAATCGTTAAACTTAAAATTAATTAATAATAAATAAAAAAATTAACTTAAATATACAATTATAAAAAACTAAATATTTGATAGATATAAAACAATAGCACTTCTTGAACGTCCACCATAAATTTCACAGAAAAAAATGTTCAGCCAACCGTTTTAAATGGAGGATTTTCACTACAGGATTAAAACCACTAATCAAGTGGCAAAAACCATTTGGTTTTTCAAAAGATTCCAGTTTGCTTGCTTTCCAACTCCAAGTGGGTGCTTCCATGACAAACTTTTGTACTACAGTGGTACTTTTGTCCCTTGTGTGAAGAAGTCACAATTGCAAAATGCTGGCGAGTGGTGGCTAGTGGATTTGTGGGCATAAATTATGTAAAACAAATGCCAAGCCAATCGTCCACAAGTGACCAAGGTAAATTCTTTACCGCAATCCTTAGAATCTAGGAGAAAACTTAAAAGAGCTAGACAGAAGAACAAGATAAAAAGGAAGGGAGAATGGTCCAATCATGAATGATGCTCTTGAAAAATGTCCTCATCACTCTACAGGATATCATCAATTCTAAGATTAGATAAAATAATTCGATACGATAATACGATATAAAAATAATATAATATAAAATTTTAAAAATTATAAATAAAAAATATTTTATATTTAATAAAAATTATAACATATAATTTTTATATAAAATATAATATAAATAAATATTTTATTTTTTACTAGGATAAAAATTATCATATCTAACTAATATAATGTTTTTAGAGTGAGGTGCATCAATGAATTTTCTTAGGTGGGGCTATAATGAAGGCCCACAAGCCATGAAAGTGTTAAAAAAGGAAGAGTTTTGAAGAATTGAGATTCCATTCTGTAGCACAAATTGTTGATTTCTTGTGTACCATATGCCTATATACTGAAGAGAACAGCTCCATTACACTTTTCTTTTGTGATTTTAAGTGCTTGGAGAAATTATACTCTACTTTGCCATTCCAACTTCTTTTCTATGTAATATTCAAACCAAGGAAGGAAAATCATTTCATCAAAAACTGGAATATTTTTTTAATGACTTCCTTTTTTTTTTACCATGCACGGACTATGATCTTTGAGTCATCCATTTGGGGATTATTTAAGGACGGCAAATTTACTTGTATTCTTTGAGTTCAATTCGACTTAATTATATAAAATTATTTTTTTACTTAAGTTTTAGGTAAAATTGGATTTCTTTTTAAAATTAGGGTTATATTCAAAATCGAATTTTAGTTAAATCTCTCTCTCTCTCCAATTTATTTCGGTATATATACAAAAAAATAGTTTTATTATTTATTTAATTATATATATATATTATTATATTAATAAAATTATTATTTAATATTTTAATTTGAGATATTAACCTAATAAAAGTACTATATTTATGTATAATTAAAATATAATTTATATTAAAACACTATTTTATTTATATTACATTAAATTAAAATTATTAAATTAATTTTCGATTGAATTGATTACGAATTTATATATATATGTGAGTCAAGATTAAATTGTGTATAAAGAAATAGTATTTTAATATTAAATCAAAATTATATATACATTTTATCAAATCATATCAAACTTAAAACAAATAAAAACTCGTCTCAATTTGACCAGTAATTATCTCCTGAATTGTCGAGTTGGTGGCTTTCAAAATCATTCTATTTACTACTAGTATTTAAATACTCTAGCTGGAGATTATGTAAAAAGTGTTAAATTGGGAAAAGTGTAAGAAAATCAAGGGTTGAGGCAAAACTAACTAAAAGATAGAAAATTACAGATGAAGCCTGTAATTATAATTATATCTAGCAATGGTAAATGAAAATGACTGAAACTATTGCTAATTGCAAAATTATAATTATATTGCATCAGCATGACTACAACTCAAATGTCATGTGGGTTCAGGCTAAGAGCCATTGTAGACAAGAAGGACTTGCTTTCAAAGTGCATAGATGCTTTGCAATGACTATAACTCAAGTAAAGGAATCTAAACCCAAGAGATGGTTTCCTTTTTGTAACGTCTCGCCATCTGTAACCATAGTTGATCAATCACAAACAATTGGACATGAATTGGTATACATTTTGCCTGTCATCATAGAAAAAGCAATAAGCCTCTAATCCAGAGACATTTGCAATCTCCCACCGCAAAGCATGTATAGAAACAGCAAAGCATCAGAAAGTTTCATACTAATTTTTTTCTTTAGCAGTTCATTAGCAACCAATATTTCTCTCTATGCATATACACAAACAAAACTAACTCGAAAAAATTGTCAAATAACATTAAAAAAGCTACTCTATGCCCCCTTTCTCATCTGGTGAATAACGATTTTAAAACCAGGATCAACCAACCTCATCTGCAGCAACTGGAACATCAACTTGTCCTCCTGATGGATTCCCATGTGGCCGGATTCCAGCCTCTACATCTGGTGCAGCATCAGAACTAGTTGCCTGCTCTAGCAATGATTGCCTGCAAGTTGGACAGGATGAGTGGGACTGCAGCCATGTATCTATACACCTCACATGAAAACCATGGTTACATTTTGGCAACACCCTGACTTTTTCACCATCCGTAAAGTCACCAAGGCAAATTGGACAATCTGTAGCCTTCATATTTGAACCTGAACCATATATGGCCACTGGAATCTGGCGCAAAGCGCTCTTCTTCAGGCCTGTTGCAGCTAGACGTGCAGCAGTCTCATCTGGGGTCTCAAAAGCAAACCTTCTGCCACAACGCAAAGCACAACGCACTATAGAATTTAGTCCTAGAGCACATATCAGTGCACAAAGCAAAGCTGCTAAGATGATCACCATGTTGGTGTCAAAATTGGCTTCATTGGTGAAAGAACTGCGCGTTCTGTTTCCATCTGTTGGCGGTGCGCTTGATTGTGTATCAAGGAGAAGGCGGTGTGGGCGGTGATGAAGAGTCACCATTGCTATTTTAGCTGTATCACCAATTCGAAAGCACAAAAAGCCTATAGAAGAAGTGAAAATTCTACTACCCTTTTTGAATTTTGGATGTTTTCTTTAAGCCTCTTTGATGAACTTAGGCATACAGGCTTTTAACTTCTTTGCTCCATGTTCTTTCTTCGGTGAATCGAACCACAAACGTTACTGAAAGAAGAGAATTCATCTCTCAATTTGCTGAATAAAAATATAAATCCTTTGCTTGTTTGCTTCAATTTCCTTGAGACTTGGCTTGCTATGCGAGGTTGGCGGTTGAGGGTATTGAAGGCTGAAGCTTCACTTGCTGCTTATATACATAGAAAGTCAGGGCTTATGCTTTCTCTGTTTAGGTTCTTGTTGATCAGCTTTCAACTAAAGAGAGTACTTAAGGTTATCTCTGTCCAGCTAGATAAAGACACCAATAAAAAGCATCTTCTTTGGTGATTAAAGTAAGGAAAAGAGTGGGCTTTCATACTACACCAAAGCCTGAGTGCAAAATTTGTGGCTTTCAAAACCACAAAGAGTCCATGAAGCAGTTAAATTCTTTCTCCATCAGATCAGTATCACTACGTTACATGGAAAAGCAAACAGGATTAGAGATCTAACATGTGGTTATATACGAGGACAATTATTTGGGGCTTCCCAGGGCCCACTGATTACTGTAATATCTAGCAGAAATAGTTGGAAACTCTTTGCTTGCAGTTCAAATAGAGAGGATCAGATTACCTAGAAATGGGCCCTGGAAAGGGATTGGGAAGGGTTTATCAAAGTGCTGTTAGTGTTTTTGGGGCACTATGTTTACAGAAGGTAGGAAATACCAAATACCAAATGATAAATATTATTGGTAGGACATGAGAAGCAAGTAGAAAGAAACTGGTGGCCAAGGAATTTTTTATTATGACACCCGATCCCACATAAAATTGCAATTAGTTTATGGAGAAAAATGCTTATTCTTCAGCACCAAATCCTTCTCCGCTCTTGCTCTAACTAAAAGGTGAAGCAATTGAATTATTCATTTGAGGCCAATGCTCCTCTTTGCATCGCTTTATTGTTGAGATAATGACAATGTGTTTATGATTTTTGTAGAAAAAATCTAATCTAGTACTGCTTGTTAATTAAGATTTATCCCCTAGTGGTATTATTGTTTTACCACCTTATTTGGTAAGCTATTTTTTCCTACCAAATAATGATGGTGATAGCTTATAAATTCATCAATTCAAGGCATCCATTGATTCTATAACTTTATAAGCACCAAAATCTCACATGAATTGCTAATAAGAGTTGGTTCAATCCATTAAAAAGTCTTCAATTCGAATATTGATGATACTTTGTTGACAGTACCATGAATGTAAAATCATTTATGATGCGGTAAAATTACAGTAATTTTAACTCTGTTAAGGTCAATAAGTTACTGAAAATCACCCCAAAAGCAGCCAAAACAACCTATCAATTCTCCACTCATCTTCTTCATCTCAAAGATGCCAAAAGTTGAAAAGCTGGTTCAAGAAAATGAACTGTTTCTTTTTACCTTTGTTTCAATCCAAGTGTCTCTCATTTAATGGAGACATTTTATCTTTGCTGAGATACATGTGAAACTACAATGTGACAGAAGAGACTGGGGCACATGGAGATCATATGGAGGAGAAAGGCATCATCTCCACGGTCACCTAGGAAGAGCTGAAGATGTCCACATATGTCTGGTCTACTTCACTGTCTTAGCCATGACCCCATCTGGTAGACCCCCAATTTCACACACCAAAACACTTGTCCCTCTCTGAATTTGCCCCACACCCATTGCTCCAATCCATGTTCCATCAAAACCCCCATCCATGTTTTCATGCCTATCAAGTCTCAACCACTCTTTGGTCTCTGCTAACCTCACATTTTCACAATAATAACAACAGCTTTATTTGGTGAAGGGCCAGAAAAAGGACAGTTAGCAGCAGAAGCCATAAATTCTTTAGATAAATTTGATGCCTACATCTCAATTGCCTATCCACAATTTGAAACACACGTATCATGCTACATTTATTATCTAGAATTAGATTATATTGGATTGAGATCCCACATGATGATGACTGATGTATAAAATAAAACAGACAACTATGGGATATTTACAATTGGAGATATTTTGTCAATTCTAATTTCATAATTTAAAAATCTTGTTATAATTTGATATGAAGTCAGTGAGAAACACAGGCAACATGTCCCATGGCTGCAGCAACTATGGTTTGGGAGACAAAACTTTCCCAAATGTCCCACTGTGGCATAATTAGCAGACTAGTAATCGTAATTTACTACTATCTCTCCAATAATTAATGTTCCTATTCACCTCAGTCACCTTCTATCAATCAATGGCAGAAAATCATTGATTGAATTTTGTTTGTTGCATCACCTAATTGGCTCAACTTCTCAGGCCCACAAATACGTGTTGATAATTTATTTTAAGATTTTGTGAAAGAGTATTTTAAAAATATTTTAATATTAATTATGTTATTATTTATGCTAATATCTTTATATTGACTGTAATATTTGATAATTAATTTAAGAATTTTTTTTATTTTAAATGTCTTTATTTTGATAAAAGAAAAAATCAATAAATCATTAATTTAATAATACTAAAATCAATCTCAAAATTAAATATTTTAAATTCAAATCACAATCATAACAAAAGAAAATACACTTCCCCCCTTAAAAATTGTGGATTATTTTATAAGAAAGACATATTACCATATGCTCAAGTTGCTTTAAAAAATTCAAACAAATTTAGAATGGAATTATTGTTACATCACCTAAGGCTTATTCATGTCATGTTTCAGCATAGTATATAAACTTTTACAAATTTCAATCATGTAACTTTCTACATATTTTCCCCTTTAGCTACTAAAACCAAAGATGGATTGGATTTTTTAAACTTTTAAAAAATGTTGGATTGATACAATGTAACTTATAAAGTGCATTTTTTAAAAAGATTATGGTATGTCTTATGCTAAACAAAAATTATCTAAATTAAAATGTTTTTCAAACTAGTATGGTTCTAGAATTTAATTAAAGTAAAATATATCATTAATCACTTAATTATGATTATGTTTTTAAAATAATTATTTAACTATTAAATTTTTAATTTAATCATTTAAATTTAAGTAATATATATTTTTTACTCAATCACATATTGATGTGATAGTCAAATACTATAAGATATTGTCACATTATTTTTTACGTCACAGACGTAGTAGATGATGTGATAGTGTTGTATAGTACATAGTCATTAATATTATATTATTATATCAATACATGGGTTGAGAATAATGGTTAAATAATAAAAAAATTTTATTAAAATTTAAGTGATTAAATTAAAAAAATAATAATTATGTGATCATTTTAAAAATATTATTGACAAATTATGTATTTTACCCATTTAATTAAGCTATGATCATATTATAAGAAAAAATAAAAATATCTTTTTTCTTAAGTTGAGTAAAAAGAACGACACCGTTTGACGGACTTTCTTTAATTCTTTTCTTTTCCTCCATATTTTTTTTCGTAGGAGAGCACCGAAGGAGAAAGTTCAAAGGGCAAAGATTTCAACGGTCAGCTCTCTCTCTCTCTCTCTCTCTGACATTTCTCTTCTGAGATCTGAATCTGAAAAGAAACACCAAAATGCAGGATCCGCCAAGTCTAAACCGGGACCCGGATCCTCCAATTCCTTCCAATGCCTCATCCACCACCCAAAAGACACCGTCTTTCCCCAACCCTACCCCATTTCGAGGCTCTCACCACAGGCGAGCCCAGTCCGAAGTCCAATTTCGGATCCCGGACGACTTGGATCTCGTTTCCGACCCGTTCGAAGGGTTGGGATCCGAAGATGACTTGTTTTGCAATTACATGGATATTGAGAAGCTGGGAGGATCATCGAAGGGGTCGGAGGAAGGAGGGGGGGCTGCTGGGTCTTCGAGTGGTGGGTCGGGTCAGAACCCGAAAGGAGAGGAAATGAGTGGCGGTTCGGGGATGGGGGAGAAGAATAATGGAGGCGGGAAAGGAAGGCATAGGTATAGTAATTCGGTTGATGGGTGCTCGATAATGGAGTCGATTGAAGCTAAGAAAGCTATGGCTCCTGATAAGCTTGCTGAATTGTGGACTGTTGACCCAAAGAGAGCCAAAAGGTTTGGGAAGTACTCTTTTTGTCCCCAACTCTTTTGGGTTTTTTTAAGTGAATTTGGTTTTGGGTACTCATGAAATTGTAGAAGAAGTTGGAAGTTTATAACTTCTAGTGTGAAGTTTGTGTTTTTGTTTGTTTCCTGTAGATATTAGGGGAAGTTATTAGAACAAAGTAATATCTTTTTGTTTAAAAAAATTGTATTTTTAGTTTATAAAGTCTTTCTTTTTTCTTTTTGGTTGGTTTTATCCTTTTTTCATGGGCATTATGATTGTTTTGTTGACGCGTTCTTTTCTTTTTCTTTTTTTTTTTTTATAATAATGATGAAATTGACTTTTTTTTTCTTCTTTTTTGAGTGTCTATGAATGGGTTCTTCTTGGGCAGTTTAGGAACTGAAGTTAGGAATTTAAGAATTTGAAATTTGAAAGAAATTGAGAGTTAGTAGAATTTCTGAAAAGTGTGCATTTTTATGTAACTAATTGATGCCAATTGTATGGGTTTTTTTCCCCCTAATTCTAGGCTCTTTTTAGTGGATCATGCATGCTTCTTAGCTAATGTTCTTGTTTTATGGGCATTATGGTTGTAGTTTGGCAATCTTTTTCTTTTAATAATGTGGTGCCTTGGTTGACTTTTCTAACCCCTTGATGAATGGGGTTTTCGATATTAGGAATTTCAGCTTTGCAAAATTTCTTAATGCATTTTTATGAATTAAATTCATGTGAATTACAAGGTGTCTTCTATTTACGTGTGCCTTTTTATAGATTTTTTTTCTTTTGGCTTTTTTTCTTGTTTCCTTTATGAGGAAAGAGCGATATAAACATTTTTTTGAATTTCCATGCCATGTTTTGTACTATGATTAGGAGATGGCATAAATGCTTCATGAAATATTTAAGTCATCATAAGTACCGAATGACATAATTATATTATTAAATCAGATTAGAATTCTCATTGCATAATCTCTATCTAAAATTGCTGAGTACATTTTTTGCTTGTCTAGGGGAATTTCAGCATATTTATGGGCTGTTTCACCATCTAATGTAGTAATGGTATGGTCATGAGTAGGGCATTATTTTGTGCTCGTATTACTGAAATTTGCTTCATAAATACTAGCAAAATTCAGCTTTGATTAATCTGATAGGTGTATCCTTGACTGTAAACGAATTGATCTTGTCACTCTTTCTCCTTCTAAATGATTTTTTATTTTTTTTTCTATTAGTTTTATCCGTATCTCTTTAAAATTTGATAATAATTTTTATAACATATATATATATATATATATATGTTTTCATCACGGCACACCCTTCCTTTTTAAAAGTGTTGGATTGTAATTCCAGTTTTGTTACCATATTTAATGCAGTACTAGGAAGCCGTTACCATTAGCATAACTGTACATACTGAATGTCGCCTAACCATCAACAAAATGACTTATGGATTTTGGACATTTGGGCACTGTTAGTTTCATTTAAGTTTGATTTTTGGGCAAATGAGCTGTTCTTTCCAAACTTTGTAACTTTCAATAATGGTTGGTTAAGGTCATGTGCGCACGGATTTTCTACATATGGAATGTTATAACCTTTTTCTTTTCATATTTTCTAGTGTTTGAGAGCCTCTAAACTCTAATCTTGTTAGTTATAAATTACTGATGAGGTGTATCCTTCCTTAAATGCATAAGCATTTGGTGAGGTGGCTGAGCTAGAGCAATTCTCATCTCTCCACTCAACACCCCTCAACCCTTAGTTGGAATGTAAATTTTCTTCCAAAGATTTGATGATCTCATATTATGTGGTGAGATTTGGGTACATTCAAGTTTCCGCTAAGCAAGTACACAATTTGTGTAGGATCATTGCAAATCGGCAGTCAGCTGCTCGTTCCAAAGAGAGGAAAGCCCGATATATATCTGAATTGGAGAGAAAAGTCCAAACACTTCAAACGGAAGCGACTACTCTTTCTGCGCAACTAACCCTATTCCAGGTTTTTTTCCAAACACTAACCTGTCTCATTGCATAATTTTGGAGCTTGTTTGTTTTTGTGATTATTTGCATTCTTCTTATAAAAAATCAGATCCACAAACTAAACAATCAATATTTGGATCTACTATCTAATAAATCAAAAGCTTTTTGCAATAAAGAGCTTTCTGTTATTGTGAATGCGGTTGCACATGCTTCTAATCTTGGTTTAAGGCATCTGATTTTCTGAAATCGCCATTGGTTTTGCATATGTTCCATCTTATGTTGATTTTATCTTTCTTTATTGATTATTACCTGATGTTAATAGTCTTGAATCTTGTGTTCTATTCCAGAGAGATACAACAGGCTTGAGTACTGAGAACACTGAGCTTAAGATTCGGCTACAAGCTATGGAACAACAGGCTGAGCTACGTGATGGTACGCTCTGTCCAGACCATTTTTGGTTACCAAATTCTCTCCATGATGGCATGCTTTCAAAAGTGTATTCTCGGCATGTGGATGGACATGTTCACGTGCTACACTAGTTGAGCTGTTTTTTTTTTACCATATATACTCAATGATAAGAAACATAACAAACTGGCATCAGACTAGTCAAAGCCAGGGGTGCCCATTTTAAATAGTGTTCTAGTCATTAATTTTAGAGCTCAAGCTTTGGGTAGCATTAATGATTGTCCATTTGCATGCAGATATCTAGTCATGTTTGTTTTATGCCTGATTTCTCACTCATAAAACCTACTGCAGAGAGTCGTTAACTGGATATAATTTTTCTCCTTGATCATCTCTGACTACAGCTCTAAATGAAGCACTGAAGAAGGAAGTCGAGAGGCTCAAGATTGCTACAGGAGAAATAATAACACCCACAGATACCTTTAATTTGGGAATGCACCATTTACCATACACCCAATCTTCCTTCTTTCCTGCACAGCATATGCAAGTTGACACCCAGAATATTCAAGTGCCACCATTTCATCACATCCAATCCAACATGTTGACACCTAATCAGTCTGTGGTAGCTGCCTCCAACTCACATGTCTTTGCTGATATGATGCAACAGGATCCTCTTGGCCGATTGCAGGGGCTTGATATCAGCAGCAGGGGTTCCCACTTAGTGAAATCTGAAGGCCCTTCAATTTCTGCTGGTGAAAGCAGTGGGACATAATGATACAAATTCTACTGATCTGCACCTTGCCCTGCCCTGTTTGTTGGCTTGTTCATAGACTGACCTTATTGACATCGAAAGGTACTCTTTGTTGGAATTTAATTCTTTAATGTGATTGGTATTTTAGTTTTTGTGTAGCTTTGCTAGTTCTTAAGATATTCAAGATTCCTTTCTTGTGGAATTCAAATTCTTTTTTTTTTGGACCAATGATGTGGGGGTAGAAGTTTGATCCTTAGGAATAGATTAATGCAACATGTCAATCCAGTGGCTCCCATTGGATTGTCTATTAAGTATGGTTTAAAGCTGTATTGGTGGTGAATTTCTTCAAATTGTTTTTTGTCTAATTTGATGACTTGCACTCCCTCTCAAATGGGTGTGTGCACAACTGTAAATGTTTTCTGGCTACCATATTGTACTGGCTTGAGTCTGCTGTTTTCCTGATTTCCTGGCTCAGTTGAATCTTGGAGGATAATAAATGCCTCTGTAGTTGCTGTTGCTTGTCACATAATCATGTGATATGATTATTTATGACTTGTGAATGCATCAATGTGGTGGCCTGATCTATACTCTTTTCAGAAAGATTTTGATTTACAACTCTGGTCATCCCTTTGTTAGGGTGCACAATATGTTGACTTCTTTTTTACGTACGTATGCGAGGTACAAGGGTAACAACTTTGAGTCAAATATGATTTGTTCTACACTTCTACTGTTGACTTTTTGGTTGGGATAATAGGCAAAGTTATCACCTTAAATTGCAGGTTTCTAATATGCCATTTTATTAGTGGGATAAATACCAGAAAAGGAAAAAGGAAAAATCAAATGCCATCAAAATTTAAACCACTTTTGTATTTGTACAAAAAGACATGATTTATATCTGCACAAAAATCTATGACCATTGACATGTTTGAATAGAGTTTTTAATACTCGAAAGAGAAAATAATAAAAAATAAAGACAATTACAGATCTCAAAAGCCGACCGTCTTGGACATCAAGCTCATTATTTCAAGATCATGAAGTAAATTGAAAAGGCCCTGCCCATACAGTAATAACACAGCAAATGTAAGTAGTAGACAAAATGAATGGACTAAGTTGATTATATATACAAGACAAAACCATGCCTATGCATTACGGAGGAAGAAGGAACAGTGGAATTCGATTAATTAATTGAATGAAGAACTATTATCTTCTTTTTCAGTTTTGCTGCTTATTTCAACAAAATATAATATCAGAAGCTATTGCTGGGCCGCAGCTGACATTGGTGCTTCTTTGAAAGCCAGAAACTTATTTTAGCCCTACTGCTTCAGCCTGTATAGATTGTGGTTACTATTGCTGCTTTCATCTTTGTTTCCTCTCATTTCACCCTGCAAAGATTGCCAAAGAAATTTGATTTATAATTTCTGTAAACTCAACATTCATTACTATACCAATCTAGTGCCTCCAATTTCCATTAACAAAAAGCATTATTAAAGTTCTTTTCTCTAGTCTACTCCAGCTATCAAAATGGGTTTTCATTGATTAGGAAATTTACTTGGAGCAGCCAGGATTCGGGTTTATAAGGCGATAGCGGATGTTGCTTCACACATTCCGGGAAGCTGCTGAACACTACTGAAATCAAGCCTATGATGCTTACGAAACTCATCAGCAAGGAATGAGGGCGTTACTCACCTCATTGCAAGTTTGAGCATGTACAAATATATAAGCTTGCAGGTCAGATAGCTTCTAGACAGGGTTATCATTGCCTCTTTTGCATACAATAGGATGGTTGAAAGACTATAGCAGAAAACGTGAAAGTCCTGAGAAGTGCTCGATATCTTCATTGAAAAATGGCAATTATTGTGGTTGTTCGGACTCGTTTGGAGCTTATTAAATGGCCATACTCAAAGGAAAATTTTTAAAAGTCCTCAGACGGAGATGCATAATGAAAGCTTCCATCTAGAAAGGTATCCCTTTCCATTAATGTTGTAAAAATTTGTGTCCAATGAGAACTTGCGTTTACAATTTTCCAGAAATCAAAATACCGACGACAAAATGATTGAATTAGTTCAGATGTCCGTTTAGAAAGTGCTGTTAAGGGCTCCGTATATAGTGGACCGTTGCTGTTACTGTGGTTGTTGGGGAAGACGTAGATTAATGCTATCAAACTTAATAGCCAAGGACAGACAAAACTCAAGGTCACTTAAAATAAAGCTGTGAATTTCTGCTCCATCAAAGAGTGAATTTCCAAATTCGTTTACGGCTTGAATGTCTACTTTCATATACAGATCTAAGACTCGAAAGACAAAAAAATAACACCAGCCCCCTACCCCCCACCCCCCCCTAAAAAAATGAAACACTAAAGTTGTTCCTATTGAGTAGGTCTTGCTAAGATCAAACTTCAAAGCCTTTACCTTTTCTTCAAAAGAATAAACCGTTTGAAATAGGATTACTGTAATCCTTTAAGTATTTGGCAGCACAGAACCTTATACTAGGTGATTGGCGGGTGTAAAGGGCTTTGCACTGCTAGAATGGGCATAACAGTTGGGCTGCCAAGCACAGATCATATCAGACACACTCGTGCATCGAAAGTTCCATAGGAGAAAATGATTCAGTGAGATTCTCTATGAGAAAATAAAACAGTTATCAGGATCTCTCAAACCCAAATTTCAACAGATTCAAATCTCATTGAATTATATAACATGAAGTTAGCTCAGTTAGCTCATGCAACCAGCTTAAGAGGTAGCGTCCAATTGAGATTCAAATTCCAGCACTTGCTACCCTTCTTTTATCCGAAGAAGATTACGACCTCCTTTGTAAGAAAAAAAAAATTAGAATCTTATTTCCCCAGGTAAAACAAAAAGGCGGTTGTGGAGGAATCAAGATATTTGCACTGTTGGGATGGTTATGGTTATAAATTATATAGAAATAAGCACTTGCCATGTGAAAAAAGAGTTAAAAAGGTTAGTAATAGCCTGAAGAGAGCATTTTTCATTTTCATAGTAACAATACAGTACTGATGAAAAAGACACAACAACCATGTTGAACTAGCCATAATACTAACAGTAATACATAATTCCCTTGAGGCAAAATGCTGGCTAACTGTCTCCTCAATGCTTAGCATATCCAAAACGAACTTAAAACTTGTCACTCATGCACAGATATTAACGAATGTGAATGAACCATAATGATCTATTTCACTCGCCATCACTCATGCAGAGATTAAAGCCATACTCCATTGAGCTATATATATACATATATAATGTTAAGCAGGTACTTCACTTTGGTACATCTCCCTTGTGCCTTATTCCATCATCTCATCTTCTCCCCTTCTCGAGAACTCTTAGTCTTAGTTTTTGTATCTAAAACTTCACCATCAGAGTGTGCCTGCCCTTTGGCAATTTCTCGGCAACAAAGGATTTTTTCAATCGAACAATTTGGTTGTACTCTCTCTAGACAGCCACTTAATTATATTTAATTAGGTTTGCGAACTTTAACTCTACATATATCTTGCAACAAACCATTAGTAGACTAAGCTTGTAAAAACAAGTCTCATGTGAAGGATTTTTTAATCAGATTTACAAAAGCAATTCTTTCTTTCTTTCTTCTTTGTCTGTGTGTATATATGTGTGAATATGTATGTGAACAGACAAAGGGTTTGGATATAAACTAAGATGGAGTGGTATATTTGCACGCATAAGGGTGGAGGGTTGCGCCTGTGACGGACAGAACGCGGGAATGAGACTTCTTTTCTTAAGAAAAATTTGGTTTCTGTCTGTTCAACCTGTCTCTTTATAGATATCTTGGGGTTAGATATATTTATCTGAGAAATGGATTTTATCTATGGTCTATTGAAGTGCCCAGTGAGTGCCTTGCGAGTTGGGAGGAAGATTCTTAAATTGCTGGTAGTCATCGTGTTAAACAAAGGACACAACTATGCTATGGTTTATGGGCTTCCTACTACTATTTTATCGCTTGAAAATTGATGAGTTGGGTCCTATGTTTCTCAAATTTGGGCCTAAAAGGTTGTTCATGATGCAGGGATTAGTTGGTATGGAAGGGCTGCCAAGTCTGACCAGTCGGCCCTTTTTTCAGAAAAGCATTTGTAATACACGTGAAAAAATTTTTTTAAGTATTTTATAAGTGAAAGGGTTTCTAATAAAAAATTAGAAAGATAAAAGACTTATAAGTAAATAATTCAACTTTTAATATGATTAAATTATATTATTATTTTCTGTATCAAAAGAAAATAATGGTTTATTTTTCTCTTATTTCTTATATAAGTCAAAGGATTTAAAGTGAAAGGCAAAAATAAAATCTACAAAGAGAGTTATCTTTTATAGATAAAAAATAATTTTTTTAATTTTAAAAAAATAATATTGATTATTAAGTTTCGATATTTAACTTGTAATATAAAAATCTTAAAATTTTAAAAAATTTATTATCCCTTTTAAGATTAGTTTGGACAAATCATTTAAACTGTATTTAGGGTTTAATAAAATGTTAAAAATGTTTAGTAATATGATTTTATTGCTGTAAAAATAAAAAACAAAAATTTGATGAGATTAGAAAGGAAAATTTTTGTTTCGTATAAACCTTGGTATTTGTAGTGGTAAATTAAGATAATATTTTATATTAAAAAATAAATTATTGCTATGATTATTTATACTGTTGGAAAGCTTACTGAATTTACTTTCCAATGAAATAAACGAAAGTTAATTCTGAGTTTTTTTATAAAAAGTAATTTAATTTTTACTTAAGGATCTGCAAGCTGCCTAATAGCAGGAGCAAGAAGGAATTACGAAATTTCTTTTAATTTTTATCCAATGAATTATAGATTAAGTCATATTTGTTTGAAAACTTATTGAAACTATTTTCCAACGAAACAAGCAGAATTGAATTTGAAGTTTCTTATGAATAAATATGTAATTGTTATTAAAAGATATACATGTTATCTAATAGAAGCATATAATGTGGATTGTAAAAATTATTATAATTAATCTATAAGAAATCACGAGATGGGCTATATATGCTTAGAAAGCTTATCGAATTGAGTTTTTAATGCATTAAAAGATCTTAATTCCAAATTGAATATCTTGAGATATGGCTATTTTAATAAAAGAAGCTCAAGCAGTAAGTATTAAAGTTTAGTTAACCCTTGTTTAACTTAATTGCTTTTAGTATAATTGGTCTCAAAATGAGTTGTTTAATTTTTATTATGTTGAAATTATCTTGAATAGGTTGTTAATTATTTTGAAAGAAAAATTAGGTGGTGAAATCGAAAGGAGATAAATAAAATCTCACACACTTTATTTGTTTTCAAACTTATGTATACATATATATATATATATATATATAAGTTTTTAAATGAGTAAATGTTTTATTTTATTATTTTCGATATATGAAAATAGGACGAAGCATATGATTATTTTTTATTTTTGCTATGTAAATTATGGATCATGTTTAAAAATGAAATGAGAAAATGATTTATGCTTAAGGAACGATTTTATTATAATTACGTTTTTACATCATTGGAAAGTACAATCATCGATACCAAAATTAGTTCTATGACCTTAACTAATTGGTTATAGTAGTTAGCATTAAGCCTTGGCTAGAGAATTATAATAATTAACAATGATCATGATTATTAAATTATTGATACAGCCAATGTCACAGGTTATAGCAGTTACTGTAATTAATGATAAACTAACGATTTATGATGATTTGTGATGATTTTAAATATTGATCCATGATATATATATATATATATATCAAAATGATTTACGATGATTTTAATGATTGAACTATGATTTTGTTTGATTATGATATTTGAATGGTAGTATATTTTACAGTGATTTATAAAATTAATATGTTTTGACATTGATTTATGAATTTACGAAATGTTTGATATAACAATGATCTTTGAAATGTTTTAATATTATGATTTGATGAATGTTTTGAATAATCTATATGATATGTATGAAAATAAACTTGTTATGATAAGATGTGTTAGCTTATGATTGTTAAGTTGTGATTTGCTTATTTCTCATTTACTTTTTTTTTATAAATGAGTTAATGATAAGTTTACTTAGTTATGTAAGAAGCTAGAAACTCATATTGAAAAGATTACTTAGATACTCGAGATATTATTGGCTAGTAAACTCTTATGAAACGGTTTAAATTTTTATTAGTATGCATTTGAGAATATGAAAATTTCTTATTAGTTGAATTAAAGTTACGAATTTTCTTAAATAAATTTTTTTATTGAAGGATTTTAAAATGATTAAGCAACAAGATTTCATATTATTTTAAAATTTTATTTCAAGATAATATGATTATATTATATCTTAATCTCAGGACGTGACAGTATTAGTGTTTCTTCAATGTATTGTTCATCAAAGATAAGCTTACAGCCAAAGATAGGAGACTGAAATGCGTAATTAATTGTAACAATTCCCATCAACTGGCTTGGTATACTATTGTATGCAAGCTAGAGGAAAAAAATTTCCGATCTTTGCTTTTAGGTTTGCCTTGGAATGATGTTAATTATTTATGGACTACGATATTCGGTTGGAAAGGAATATTAAAACACTGTTTGCTACTTTGGTTTAAACAGAACAGTAGTTGTTTGGAGAGATACAATCTGTTATTAGACATAGAATTGAGTTGTCTAAAGAATGTTGCAAGCCGTTGTATTAAATATTACCTTTGATCTAGCTGGAGAATTGCTAGCACTGTCCTAATCTGTGCTTGCTCTTGGTTGTTGCAGTTTTCTGCATGTAGGGACAAACTTGCAGCTATGTGTTCTCAACTTATCATTCTGGTAAAATCAACAACTTAATCATCCCAAAGGTAAATAGTAACAGTAGTTATTCAAATTTTGAACTCTCTTTTTCCATTACATTACCATTTTTCCCTTTGAGGAGTGATAATCATATTCAACGACTCGAAAGCAGTTATAAAGTATTAGGAACACTTCCTCTATACCATTTTTATTTCAGAATCAAGTGTAATGTGTATAGCTCAGATTAAGCTGGTGTCAGGTCTGCTAAGTGATGAGTTGCAGCCAGTCTAATGTTTTTTGTGCCAGCTTATAAAATGTTTACTCTCGTCTCTCATGCAATATAAGGTGCTGCTGTCATTAGAAGGTTATCAGCAAGTTGGGGTTTGGCTATAAGAAAATATGTGGACAAATTTGTGAACGAGAAAAACACTGAGGTTTTCCCTTTTACATTCATAAGGTTGATTATCAATCAATATCTGTTAGAAAGGTGATCTTTTTCACCGTTTGGAACATATTATTTCAGTAGTACACAAAATCAGGGCGTGGAACACCAAATGTAACTACCTTGCCACGTTACAAGGGTTACGGCAGCCCTACAACCTGAGCTTCTAATTAAATGCACATGCAGAGGGTTGAACCTTTTGTTAGAACTGGTCTATTTTGGAATTGGAAGCCCCAAAGTTGGTCTGTTTTGTGGCTGATATGTGTGACCGTATATGTCTTTTAAAGACGACCGGAAAGTGACTGTTCACTTGGCTGAGCAAATGGTCCCATTTTCATTGTAGGTTGTAGGGAGATGGTAGTCTCTTTGCAGGTGGGACTAAGGGACAATCCCTTGTGAAGGGCACTCTCATTGGCGCCTAACACACAACATTTGGATAAATTCCACATGACCTTTTTGTGGATCTCATTTCAAGCTTTGATTAATGTTGTCCCCAGGAAAGTGCCTGGAGAGCTTTAGGGCCACAAATCTTAAACCTACTGATATAACAACAGAAGACACAATAAATATAGAAAATCCCATACCATTTTATATTTTTTCCTCTTTTTTTTTAATTAAAAAAAAAAGAGTAAGAACTTTGAAAAAGCTAATTGGAGAAAAGGAAAATCTGCAGTTAACAAAGGGACCAAACTATTGATGCAGGTAATGCCATATATATATATATATATATGCATTAAATGAAGAAATCTTCATTGTTCTAATTAAAATCTACCCTCTCCCTCTGGCCTACACTTCTCATTGTTTGTTCCTCTTGCACTAGTTTTTGTTAGGCAAAAGAAATTGGAAATCAAAATGTTTGCTGCCCACTTGAAGGATCCAACCAACTGAGCTATAGGGGCTGACATTTGGAAGCCAAAATTATAAATTTAATAACATTTTTTCAACAAAATGAGCTTCAGCACTGGGATACTGCGATGTTTATTTTATTTGACATTGTCTCTTTTGGCACTGAAAGCCACAAAACTTGACTTTCTTTCCATATTTTAAAATCACATTGGACTTTGTTCAACATTTTTTTTTATCAGTAAGATAGATGAAGAGATTTTCTTATCAGGACTTAAAATTTTACTGTTTATGAGAATATCTTGCCATAGATGCTCATTGAAATGTTAAAAAGAACCTGATAGCACCTTTCCAATATTCCATATTTCCATTTTGAAATAGACAAAGTTTTAAGATATGGTGAATAGTAATTGTAGCAGAAAGTATGATTCTGAATCTTTCCTTTTTCCTACTGATGTGAAATTAGAAAACAAAAAGAGCAAATCAAGGCATTTTTATATATATTTTCCTTTAGTATATTAATCAACATCATGTGGTCAGTATCTCATATTATGAATATTTTTGTTGCTTTGGATGTTTATATTTAATCTTTTATCAGTATCAGATTACAACTGAAAACCACTCAAAATTCATATGAAAATGACGCATGAACGTAAGGGACCGTGAAGCCCGGGGCTTGCATGTGCTCCCTAACATGGTAGGGACACTTAATCAGTAATCAAATCTTTCTATCAGAAAAATTGGATCCTTTTCTTCCTGTTTAACACATAAAACAATGAACTAATCATTGTGAAAAACTACAAAACCTTAACGTTAAAAAAAATTAATCACCCAAGTACGCTAATGATTTCAATGATCGATTAATGATGATGAAATTAAAAATAAAGCTTCTTCTCTTTCTATTATAATTCTCCGATCATATGTAGCCTGCGTGTGCATCTGATGCTATATACAGACTTGCTAATCAATCAGCTTTAGCAAAATGACATTAATGATGCATTTTAATTTGTATTATAATTACCGACAAATGATCCTTCAAGTCACCATCCATGAGACTATGGATTAATGCTCGTGTTACACTAAAATATGGTTGGTACGAGAAAAATATACAAGAAAAACGAGTTGACCTAACAATCTGCATATTGCACTAGAAAATATGAGGGTTTTAAGATCAGATGACCATTGCTTTCAGGTCGGTAAGCTTTCCCTGTTAAACAGCCAACTGCTTTAACAGAAATGGTATATGCTTATAGATGAACTCCTAATGGTGTCTATAATAATCCTGGAAAGATAAACAGGAAACCCTGATGGAATTTTTATCTTCTACATTCAAAGCCTTTGAAGATCATAAAAAATACATTCACACGTCCTTGTTACTGATTTCTCATTTAGACGATCGGAATTTAAATCCTTTGAAAGATAATATGGTGTCCCTATTTCACCACAACCGCATTTTTACAATGCGTGTGAAAGTGCAAGGGTTTAAAATGACTGAGATTGAAGTCTTAAGACAAAATTATTACAATGTTCCCTTGACTAATTTTGTTACTTTTTCTTTGGGGGGATATTCTTCTGTAGCCACCAAATTAGACTTGAAAAAAAAAAATCCCAAAGTCCCCCAATCAAAGGCAATAAAAGATTTCTCGAGGGATTGGTGGGATTTCAGAAAATTCAAGGAGAAATTCCACAAAACTACACGTAAGGAAGCAATATTTAGACGAAAACAGTTAATAGGACTAAGAGAATAAGATTAAAAACAGTAGGAGGAGGGGAAGAGTTGATAAATGCATGTGCAGGTGGGGGCCAAGAGGCCTAGCGGTTGGTAGTCTAACTGGAACATTTGCATGTGCTGGCTTTGATCCTTGTAAATGACCTGAAAATATGAAAATCTATTCTCGTTGCCTTGGCTTTCCCTCTTCAACGTGAGAATTGCTTGCTTGTCTCTTCTTCCTATTCAAGTCCACATCCCACCGCCCCTAGACTTTTTCCTTTATTTCCTATATAAACCCTTTCTCCCATCCCAATGTCACAAGCATCAAGCACTAAATACACCACCAGCCTTTTCATTACACTCTCTCTTTTTCCCTCTCTTCCGCTCTCCTTCACCACTCACTTCAACTATTATTCCCAATGGCAATAGCAGCATTGTCCGCGACTTCTCTGCTGCTTTTTGTCTTCAATTTTTGCCTGCCCGGCACCTATGGTGATTATGGGGGAGGATGGCAAGGAGGCCATGCTACATTCTATGGTGGTGGTGACGCATCTGGCACAATGGGTAAGTTTAGGGGACTTTGTCATTTTATACAAAAGGAATGTAAGGAGAAAAAGGAAACATACTTAAAAGTGTCAAGTTCTTTTGTGCACTTCCAAAATTGCACTTAGCAACTTTAGGTGGTCTATAACTTTTGGTTTTCTTTTGGTTTCTTATATCCACTGCTACTATTTCAGGAGGTGCTTGTGGATATGGCAACTTATATAGCCAAGGCTATGGGACTAACACTGCAGCACTTAGCACTGCCTTGTTCAACAATGGTTTGAGCTGCGGTTCTTGCTATGAAATGAGGTGTGACAATGACCCCAAATGGTGCCTGCCCGGATCCATTGTTGTCACTGCAACCAACTTCTGCCCCCCTAACTCCGCTTTGTCCAATGACAATGGTGGCTGGTGCAACCCTCCTCTCCAGCACTTTGATTTAGCTGAGCCAGCTTTCTTGCAAATTGCTCAATACCGTGCTGGAATTGTCCCCATTTCATTCAGAAGGTAATATTTAACACCCTTTACGATCAAAACTTAGTTAAACTATATTTTTTTACTAAAATATTGATTGAGCTCATCTCAATAACATGTTTTTGTCGGGTCTAAACAGAGTCCCCTGTATGAAGAAAGGTGGAATAAGGTTTACAATAAATGGTCACTCTTACTTCAACTTGGTCTTGATCACAAATGTTGGAGGTGCTGGAGATGTCCATTCAGTGTCAATCAAGGGTTCTAAAACAGGATGGCAAGCAATGTCTAGGAATTGGGGACAAAACTGGCAGAGCAACTCCTACCTCAACGGCCAAAGCCTGTCCTTCCAAGTCACCACAAGCGATGGCAGGACTGTGACAAGCTACAACGTGGCACCAGAAAAATGGCAGTTCGGACAAACATTTGAGGGTGGTCAGTTTTAGAGTTTCAGGACAAGGGGTCCTGAAATGGAAGTTTGTGTATGTAATAACCATTGTTTGAGACGAGGGGAAGGTATAAGAGGGAGAGTTAGAGTAGGAGAGGCACAGCCCTAATGTGGCTGTCTATTGCTGTGGTGGTTTACTGGCACCCGCTCGGCCTTCTATATATTTTTTACTTAATTGATTAATGGCTGTGAGTTATAGTTTAAAGTAAACAGGGATATTCCATTGTATTGGCTTTTATTTAATTCACAGCCATGAATGAATATCAAATTGAAGATTTCTTCACTTAATTCCAAAGTCGACTTTTATTTTATATTAGTTTATATGAATGAATTTGATTGTAGATCTCAAATTAGCAATTTCTTTTACAACATTTCTCAATACAAATTGAAGAATTTTTATTCTGTTAAGCAAAAAAGTTTTAATTAATCCAAAACAAACTTCAACAATAGAAAAGTTACCTGTTGCAAGAGGCAAGTTACCTGTTGCAAGAGGCCAATGTTTTAATTTTGCATCTGCCAATTTCACAAATATTCAAACCTGCAAATCCTGAAAATTGCAGCAACTTTATTGCTCAAGTAAAACCGACAAATTTTGAGATAATGGCGTGCCCTGTCCCTTAAAACAACATTTACGCTTACCTTGTTTTTTCTTTTATTTGTTTGTTTGTTTCATTTTGGTGGTTTTGGATGAATATGTACTCCAGACTAACCAAGAAAACAAGGTTAATTGCCTGTTTAACAAAAATGAGGAATCCCATGTGGCTGGTTTTGAAGAGGATTACGAAATGGCTACTCGACCTTTGACTTAAGTAATATAATGCCTAACATCTATCCTTACACATGTCATTACTGTTACTGATACTTTGGTGACACTGGAAGGAAAGCTTATGACTTTAGTGTCAAATAAAAAAGGTTATTAGACTTTTTTTTTTCTTTTTTGGGTACATCTACAAGAGAGCGACACTTTAATATACTAGTAATTCGTCATGCATTAAAATATATATAATTGCTTGTAATTCTAGTGCATGCGGTTGATTTGTCAATGAGCTTGGCAGGGTTTGGCCTAGCTCGACTTAAGATATTGGTTTTTGTTACCAATCAAGATATTGTTAGCTATTTAAAAGTGTTAATAATTGAATCTGATTCGATAAGGTTTATATGCACTTCTCTAGCTAACTTATAGGTGTCCGGCGGTGAACACTTTGGGGTTTTTTTTTTTTTTTTTTTTTATTGGTGAAAGGATTTTATTTAATTATAAACTATTTAGTTATCCTGGTATTGACTCTTAACAGTGTCATGTGCTGACTGTGCTCTCCTATCCTTTTCGGTTAGAAGTAGAATATAGCTTTTCATCACTGTTGCAGGTAAAACTTATACACTTTCACCGACCAATCCATGGCAACTCGGTTGATCAGGATTCAAGGGGTCAACTTTCTTATTTTTTGTCAATTACAATAACTATTGAGCCAACGGGAATTCACTTTGCTAGCAATTGGAGGTGTTCATGACTCTTCTAATGAATCATACCATTTGATGTACAATTATTTTATCAATATTGCTTGTATAGTCTTCTCATTTTCGCTATAAATCATTGTATCTATCTATTATTTAAGCGTCCATGTTTTATTTTCTCATACTCTTTTAATGAATGTTAAAAAAAAAAAATTTAATTGATCCGAAACATGTTTGATTTTATGAGTTCATATTACTAAGCTTCAAAACCCCATTCTCGTTTTTACGCTACATTACATTCTAGCATTCTCAACAACCCAAGTATAGATATTATGAAGAGGAGGGGTGTGAAGTTTCAACTTTCAAACATTAATTAGAAGAAAAATCATCATCGGTGATAGCTCTGGCCAACTACAATGCTTCCCCTTCACAACTGCCATATGAAGAGCAGTCTTCAGTATCATTTTCCCTTTCCTTCAACTCTTCAATCTTCTTCACAACCTCTTTCAATTCCCACCTCTTCTCTACATTCCATTCGCAACAGCACATTCCAATCTTCAACAACTTCAACATCTCACCTTGCCTGTTGTTGGTACCCTTCATTAACTTGTCAAAAACCTCTCCTATCCATTCTTCTCTCTAAACTGAGTTCACCCACGTTGCCAAATCCGCATTGCCCCCTTTACCTTGTTTCAAATAGTTGCCTGGGAACTTGCCTGTCAGCAGTTCTAGAATCAGTATTCCGAGACTCCATACATCTGTCTTTCGTGTTGTTCGATCATATTGGGTGAATTCGGGGGACTTGTAAGCCACCATGAATTGTTGAGCATGATCTTTTTTTATCACCGAACTAAGCCATAGTCTGACAGGAGGGGCTCAAAGGTGTGGTCCAGAAGCACATTGGAGGATTTTAGGTGTCCATGGGTAGTGTCAGGCTTGGAAGCTATTTGTAGAGGTAAGCCAAGCCCTTTGCTACTCCTTTGATGATCTTCAATCGAGTTGGCCAATCAAGCCCTGTCTGACCTGGAGCACGCCTAGCTGAGGAAATTAAGCTATGAATTGAGAACTTGTTATAGTATTAAAGAGATTCGAAACCAAGGAGTGTCGAAAAGGGAGAGATCGTACCATGAAGATGACTAGCCAGGCCGCCATTTGGAACAAAATCAGACACCAGAAGTTTCTCTTCTTTTCTGTAATAGAATGCCACAAGGGAAAGCAGGTTAGGGTGAGATAACCTTCCAAGTCTTACCATATGCTCATAAAATTCTTCCTTGCCCACATTGTTCATTTGCCTAAACCTCTTCACAGCTATGGATTGCCCATTCAAAAGGACAGCCTTGTAAGAAGACCCAAAACTCCCACTGCCCAGAACCTGAGCAGAGGCCCTAAGCAGGTCTTGAAGCTCAAACTTCTCCATGTCATTCCTCACAAAATGCAATGTTGCATTTTCAGCTTTTTTGTAATGATCAGATGATTGATCTGCTTTCTTGCCCATAATGTTGCCGGTTTTTCTCTCTCGGACATTTTTTAATTGGGATGCGGTGGTTGGATTATTGCGGATATAATAAACAGTAGCAGTGGCAGCCAAAGCAAACGCAGAGCCAGTTACGGCAAGGATTATTAAGATGGTCCTATTCTTTGATGAGAACTTGCATTTAGATAGAGGCTTTCCGCATAGGTCTTTGTTTCCTGCTCCATGCAAAAAATGGTATTGGTTAGTCCAGGCCACATGGGTTTGCTGATTTGGTCTAGGGAAAAAATCGGTCACTGCTGTGAGATAACAGTTGAATTATGAGATATGTCAATACACAAATTTATGAAAAAATTTGAGGAAAAACTTTGGTAAAGTCTACCCATCTAATACAGTATTTCAACTCCTAATTCAAATCTCATAAAACTTCAATAACGGGTATTGAGCTTATCCTATTTTTTCTTTAATTTCCTGCCTTCTTTGGTATGATAAAATGTCATCTAACGCTAATTTAACTTATGAGGATGTAAAGTTTGAACGAAATTTTCTTACCAAAAAATGAGATTTAGCAAAATTTTATAATGGATCAAAGAATTTGTCCTTTCAAAACGATTCCCTTCAAGACTCAACTGCGACAACCTTGGCAATGAAGCAACTGATTTTGGGATTTTACCAGAGAAGTTATTCCGTGCCAGATAAACCTTTTGCAAGGAGTTCATGCCAGCAAAACCATCCTCACGTATTTCACCTGAGAAAACATTGTATGACAAATACAAGGCTTTCAAAGCAGTAAGTTTATTTACGTCAGTTAATGGACCACCAACGCTCTTGTTCATAAAACTTAAGGTACGCAACAGCGGCAACGCTGTAAGTGTGTCTACATCAATTACACCCATTAGAACCATACTCTCCAGCTTCAGTCCGAAGACTGTCCCATTGCTGCAGCGTAAACCTGTCCAATTTGGATTATCGCCAGTGCATGGTCTTGATGCCGAGTCATTCCAATTAGCTAGTGCGGTGCCATAATTGGATAAAGAGTTCTTAAACCTGAGAAGGATTTCGGCCTCAGTTTCACCCCATGATGGTCCAACGAAGCATGTTAACATGAATAGCAACAGAAACCAATAACATGCTTTCTTTTGACCCATTTTTCAGACGTAATGAAGGTTTCAGCTTTGGTTTGAGGGAAGAGTGGTGGAAGAGAAGAGAAAGGACTACGGATTTGATGAGTTTGATGCGTTGCGAGGGGAGAAAAAGACAGTGGGTAAGAGGGATTGACAAAATCCCGTTAAGGCTAAGCTGTGTGGCGGGCAACTTAATGCTCTGATAAATTGTTGTTTATTAGATGTTGGTCTCATTGATTCTTTGGTTTTTGTCTTAGCAAATTGTTTTTATTGGTTAGAGTGCGGCTGGTTGGTTCTCGCCTTTGAAAGGGATGGTTACGTGTATCTTATAATATAATTGGATAATCTTGCATTAATCGGGTTCAAATTTCAGGATTTCCAACCTCAACAAGTTTTTTGAAAGTCCTAAGAGATTTCAGGATTTTCAAATCATTATGACAGTTATGGTGCATCTAAAAACAACCAAGGAAAATGGAAGACATAAAACAAGCAACAAGAGCTATATACTTTCCAATTTATTTAGTAAAAATAGATCCCCAAAATAAACCAAATTGCTATGCTCTTCTAAGGGAATACGTCAAGTAGGTGTGTCTTTGTACATTGGCTCAACTCCTCCTCCCATTAACTAATTCTACATACCCAACACAAGTAGTAGCTCCACACAGACCATAATGGCTCTTCAACAATCAGCAGCAAAAAAAGAGTCTTGCGGGATCTTGGAATAGCAGATTTGTAGAAATTCCTGAACCCTTCCTTTCCTTTCTCTAATGTGGAAGAAACGTTTAGCAGACATTGCGGCTCAATTGATGGTAAAGCATGTAGATAACATAACAGATTACATGAATCTACTTTGACTTAAGGTGAAGCAAAATATGAACGCAGTGAAACTCCAAGAGTAAAGCATGTTCAATCATAACCTCTATGTAAACTGTGAGACTTACATGTCTTTATCTTTGGATAAACTCCAGGGGATTCTGCTAATCACGCTCTCATCTACTATCTTATAGTGATGGGAAATTTTGCCATGGATCATTCCACAATATTTATCCACATGCTCTTCATATTTGCCATAGAAGACAGGAACAGTAACGGATAGGGTGGTTCCTGCCATCAGCAAATGAGAAATACAGAGAGTAATTGAGTACATCATTTAAGATTCCTTACACATATATGAAAGAAGTCATTGATTAAATGCCTCCCATTTTGCAATCGATTTGCAAAAACAGGCACAAATATGCAATAGATCCTGATAGGAGCTTGACATCAGGTTTTTGAATTTTTAACAACACAAACTCATGGTTGTTCATTAGAAATAAACCAAATGAGGTTGGGATTAAAAAACTAAGTTAAATTTAGTTACATTAATGTAATTAGGTCAAACAAAAAAAAAAGTACTAATTATATCCATGAGAAAGATGAATCTGCATCAGTTGACAGATAAACTTGCTTACCAATATAGGCAAGTTTGAAGAAAGAGCAATAGCTACCAATGGCAGACAAGGGCCATAGAAAAGTCACAACCTGCCAAATCTACTAAAAGTTAGAAAACATTATCACGCACCAGCCTTCCGGCCATCCCTACCCCCCAATAAATACATAAACAAGGACAGAAGAGCAGGCAGAGTGGAACAGGTTTAGTGAGATAGCAAAAGTGGGTAGAACCCAGGACCCTATACAAACAGCATGAAGTTCCACATGGCATGAAGAAAATAGAGACCTGATGCAAACTATTGATAGACCATCTAGAAATAAAAAATAGGTTAGATTGAACAGAAAACTGCCGCTGGAAGAGCAGTTTGTGAAGCAATATCATCTGGTTCAAAGCAAACTGGGTTTAAGTATGAAGTTAGAGTTAAATTGGCAAGTTCTGTCGATCAAAATCCCCCAATTATGTGAGATCCCCCACTCCCGGAACTTGAGAAAGTAAACAGAGTTAGCAGAACCACTACTCTTATTTCCTTACACCCCCATCCAAACACACCTTGCTACTAATTAGTACCTTTACGAATAATAAAAAAATCACATATTAACTAGATCATAATACCACCAACAACACCGCAAATCTCTATACATACAATTCTACTTCAACATTGATTCTTTTTCCTATTATCCATGTTTATATTGCAGAACAGAATACTTAGTTGAAACACAACTGATCTAACTGACCTTGAAAAAAAGTCGAAAATCTTTGCTAAAGAGTTATATCATGAGCCATAAGAAGCAAATTATTGATCTTAAAACGAAATGATGCTGTGGCATTGTTAACCATTTCCTCTGACAATGTGAGCTCTGGTAATGTTTGTAGTTGTCTGCTTAATTAATAAACCGACACCATTGTCAAAAACAGCTTCAGTATTAAAAATGAAATCAACACATATACAGGCAATATTATTCATAACTATTTCTATAAGCAGCAGAGTTGGCATGGACAAATAACAATACAATCAATATCAGCAAGACATCTGAACAAATAGATATGAATGGTAATCCAGGCCACTCAAATATGAGCCAAGCAACAGTAGCAACAACAATGACACCAAAAGAAACACTCCACCGCTTCCACAATAGTATATCATCCACTAGGAACATAAGAAGCAAAATTAGTTAATTTACCACACAAAACAAATACTAGGGTGAGAAGATAATGAGCCAGGGCGACAAAGTAAACTTGCAGCAATAATATCATACTGCACAACAGGATTTCCACAACATCAACTAATCAGTAATTATAATAAAAGAGTGTTGCTGGATTTGGGCTATGTTTTACAACACATATAGACAACAAAAACAAAATAAAACAGTAGAAGAGAACAGCTACATCTCTTTCCCTACGGTAGTAGAAAACTTAAAACATAGTACCTCAGATTGTAAGAGTTACATATCATTTTGCCTATGCATCAATAATGAGATCTTCTTCATAAAATTCACTTCTCATTATTGTCTTATTTGCCTGATATTTCATTCCAATTTCGAAAGGGGCAGTAACCAATTTCTTTTGCCAAGCAATATTCAATTCAGTAAAGAAATTAAGTTGATTTCATTCAAAAACAAGACCCAACAAGAGAGAGAAAAAAATTGGAACATAAAATAAAACTTTTTTTTTGTTTTAATTTTTTGACCTTTACCACCACCTAAAAACTGGTGAAGTGAACCTTGACGACCAAACAAACGATAAGCATCTGAGGATGTTGATGAAGAAGTGGAAGGTATTGTCTGATTTCTTGTTTCTTCCCCATTAGTGTTACTCGAGTTCTCCATTAACTGCCATCAACGCCCTGTTACAGGCGTATATTAGAAGTTGTTATTACTGTTGGTGGTATTATTTAATCTTTTTTATTTGTTATCATGAACTGGTGTTGTTTTTTTTTTTTTTTGGTTTTGGACTTATGTCAGTGTATTGGTTGAGGCCCGAGTCTTGGTCCGTGGCCTTGAGTAGCAGTTGCTATTGTGAACTGGGGTTGTCACAGAATGGTACAAAAATACTGAGGAATGCATGAAAGAGAATATACACAAATTCCGTTGATTCCTGGATTTTGTTTTTCTCTTTCTTCCTTCTTTCCCTATTTTCTTTTTTCAATTCTCAGCTAATGTACTAGCTGAAGTCATACTAGTTTCTGAATCACTCATATTTTTTTTTCCATTTAACAATCATCACGCCCTTTTTCGGTTTTTAACTTATACCCAGAAATGAAAACTCACAAATTTCGAATCTTTCACCAAGTTTTCTCTCTTTGTAACAAATCTGAAGGTTCCAGATGGCCAGATCTGTGTCAGAGTTGACGAACAAAGAAAATAAAAAAGACCTTTTCAGTTTATTTTGTTTGGAAACAAAAGAAAGTTACAAGGGTGACGTCACCCAATATTTGTCATAATAATATTTTTTTTTTGGGAAAAGGCCATTGTTGCATTGCACGTGTCTTTATCAACATTTGCAACTTTTTGGAAAAACTTGCCGAATGTTACCCCTTTTCTGGCGGTGAATCCAATCCCCAACTTACAATTGAAACTGCAACTGTAGCCATTGCTGATGTTGTCCCAATTTCCTCTCTTAGACAATGAAACAAAGATTTGCCTCCATGAAGGCTTCCCAAACCCTATTGAGTAGCAGGCTGAAGAACACAAGATGAATAAATAGTACTAGAGGCAGGGAAAGAGTGGTTGACATTAAAGACTCTTGACTTCTTGTCTCTCCAACTTGTGCAGGTTTAACCTTCTATATTGTTTGATGGTGTTAGCTTCATATTGCACAGTTAGGTTTGTCAAGCATGATGAAAACCTGTGTTAATTTTCGTGTTACTAGAAGAGGAGTTTAATTATTCTACCAATGCATATCACATATAAGCTTGAAACTGGCAATTTCTAACCAGTTTTATTTTGGGTATTCATTCAATATATTAGATTCATTTACTTTTTCCAATGATTAATCTTTTCTTGGTTGGAACAATTGGAGATAATAATAATAATGTCATTACCTTAACATTAAGGCTGCTCTTAACAAAATAATGTTTGATTTTCCCAACCTGCCTAAGAAAGGACAAAATAGATAAACCCAGAAAAAAATGTACATGAAGATCTTTTGCTAGCATAAATGACTAGGTCTGGATCATCTCATGTTACAAAGGGCTGTGGTTGTGAATTATAGAAAACTAGAACTAACTAAGAAGATTGGCTTCCAAATCTTTTTTGTGGTCTTCTGTCCCTTGAGTCAGCTCCTTAGCCCTCTTAGCTTGGTAGTTCCAATCAGTGAAAACTAGAGTGCAAATCATCATACACATACATGTAGCTTGTGCTGCAGCAAGCCCAAACCACAACCCAAGCAAATCCATCTTTAATTTAAAAGCCGCATAAGCAGCAATTGGCAAACCAACAAGGTAAAAGGAACAAAAATTTATACAAGCACCCACATTAGGCCTAGCAGAACCTACCAGGATTCCACATGCTGCTGTCTGAGGACAGTTTCCAAGCTCACAAAAGCCTAATATAGGTAGGACAACTTTTGTCAATGCCAAAACCTGAGCCTCATGTGTATATAACTTTCCCCACACGTCCTTTACTGCAATTGTGAAAGTGAAAGATAGCAGTCCACATACCATTGCTGTAATGAGTCCTATAATGGTTATCTGTCGTGCCTGTGCAGGCGCTTCAGCCCCTAACTCTTGCCCAACACGAATTGATAAACTTGAGCGTAGAGAATGAGGAAAAACATATAAAAGTCCTGTTGTTTGCATAAGAATTCCCATTGCAGCCACACTTGTCTGTGGATTATTAATTAAGCCACAAAGTAGCACCATTATCTCATACCACCACCATTCTAAACATACAGAAAATACACTTGGAATCATTAGTGTCACCAGTGATTGCCAATCTCGATAGCATTTGGTTACCACTTGACCATCCCAAGGTTTTATTGCTGTTTCTGTAAAGAAGAGATACACTAGCAAAGCTAAATTTAAGTTTAATGTGTTGCAAGCAGAGGCCAGAGCGATTCCTCTAACCCCCAAATCCAAATATATTGTGAGGAAGTAGTTGATTGGAAGGTGGAGGATTGTGGCCCAAGTTGCAGAAAGAGTGAAGGGTAAGGTTAGACTTTGGGCTCTTAAGAAAATTTTTAAAGGACTGAGGAGAGCTTGGGCAAGCAATTCAGGAATAGAGTATGTGAGAAATACCTTTGCCACTGATATTATGGTCTTATCCTGACCAATTGATAGAAGGATGGGCTCCATGTTCAGCCATAGTAGGGTGATTGGTATGGCTGCAAGTAATAGGAGGCAGAGGGTCTGTTTAAAAGTTTGGCTAAGAACTGTCCATTTTTTGGCTCCAAAAGCCTGACAGCATATAGGTTCCATCCCCATGGCCAGACCATTCATTACAGAATAGCCTGTGATGTTTGCAAATCCCATTGCCAGTGAGCCTCCAGCTAACTCAATGTTTCCAAGATGTCCCAAAAACAACATTGAGATTAAGGACTTGGAGTAGAAAATCAGGCCAGAAATTACTAATGGGAATGTGATTTTCCCCAAAGATGTCAGCTCCTCCATCACCTATGGAACACACATGAGATATTAGGCAACACGAAATGATATACCACTAGCAAGAATGTACTTCCTAAACAAATCTAGAAAATTTTGGCAAACAAAAAAAAGACAAAGCTAGAAAATATAACGGCTTGCTAGATATAGCCGAAAATTGGATTTACCATAAATATGAAGAAGAAAAGAACCAGCCTGTCAAGCAAATTGAGTGTAGTTTTTGCTGTCTTTTGAGAACTAGGGAAATTTTTCTTCAAGGCTCTTGCTTCAGATCAGGATATATTCTTATAAACTAACTTTGACGCGAAAATTAACTTTCTGTAAAAGGATGAATAACAATATGCTTAGATGACTTGTTCTCTATCTTGGAGCCAGCCATAGCTTGCAAGTATCATTAAAATGAATATCTGGATAAATTTTCTTCTGACTACTTTGTTAGAAAAGGCACTATCCTCTCTGCAGCCAAATTGCAATTCTGAAAACTTTTAATTAGTTGCCCTCATAAATGAAATACCATTTCCCTCTTTGCAAGTTTAGGAAGTTTTTAAGAGAATACTGAAGAATGCGCTGTGAATTTAACGGATTATCTAGATTAAGAAGGGTATTTAAGGCTGAGAAGATGCACTTCCTTTATTTGTCAAATGAGTAACAAAAATTCGCCACAACTATTATTTGCCGGTCTCATGAATTTCATTCCTAAGTTAATGTATATTCTTGTTTAATGTTTTTTCATATTCACTCGTATTACCACTATCTGTCAGTTAAAGTTAAAACGCTAACCTCTAATGGAAAATGATCTCCCAAGCAGTCAAAGATTCTTAACAAGTTTCATTGTAGCTTCAAAACTGAAATAGACATTTGAGTTCTTTGATTACTGGATTAGTGATGTAGATTGTGGAAATTCAGGCACAACATCACTTTTCTAAATGGATGGTAAATTGGAAAGGATGAGGCAGAAGATGATGAAGCTAGTTTAACTCATGCTTGTTCTGAGTCAGTAGATTTGCTTAACTTAAACATACAGATAAGTGAAAATCAAGGGTTTAAATTATTTTACTAATCAATAAGGGAAACATGCATCTGTCTATTGTTAATCGCATGTTTGATCAGATGCTTAAATAACAGATTTGTGGAAGTTTTTCATATCAGAACTACATTGGCTTGATTTGACTATATATCCATGAAAGCTACTTATCATTCTTGAGATGCTCTAAACATATACTTATTGTACAGAAACTTGGTTTCTGTGCCATTAAACTCCCATCTCAATTGAGTTGAAACTATTTAACTCCTATTTCAGAGAAAAAACAGCAGAAATATTGCCCTGAGGACAAAACAGCTGGTTTATAGGAGCAATAACTTTCTTCTTTGTTTGAGAATTCACAAATCCAAAACAGAATTAGAAAATCACATTCTTTTTTTAAAGCATGAGCAGTATTTTTCTCCCTGGAGGCTTGCTCACTTAAGAACTGATAAGTTAAGCAGTCCATGTCTTGTATTTGTTCAGTGTTAATTACTTTGCAGTGTTTCTTTTACTAGTCTCTGGTCCCTTATATATATTACAGCTAGACTACTTTCACCATCTAGAAAACAACTTCTACAAGTAGTACATTGGTGTATAAAATCCTCCGTGTTATCTTAAGACAGCAATAGAGTAGCCAGGAAGTTACAGAATGTTAAATAACATCTGTGGAAAGTTTCAGGTTTTCAGAAGGGAATAAACAAGACAGTGGATCAACATCTGGGTCCAAAAGAAAGAAGAGCAAGAAAGTCACCTTAATTTTCTGCAACCACCCCAGAAATTCATTAAGGAACCTACTTCCTCCAGTTCTAGGACTATTGTTATAATCATTTTTATTTCTGTGGGAAAACACTTATTTACAGCTAGTTATAATCTTGTAATCTATGTATTTATATTTGTATCTCTAGAATTAAGTATTTGTATCCCTAAAATTAAGGACAAAAAATTAGGATAGACAATCCCTCAATTATAGGATTAGGTTTTTAGGAAGATTTAGTTTCCTAGTTTAACCCCTAGTTAGTCGTATATAAATCTAAGGTTCTTGTATAATTCTGAATGAGCAGTTTTTTAATATACATTCAGTTTCCACATTGATTTATTTCTTAGTTTTTTTCACATGGTATCAGAGCTTTTAGGCTCTTCTTGGGAAGCAAAATTTTCAGTATTCATTGCTGACTTCTATTTTAGGCTTTCATTGCCGAATCATGTGTAGGCTTTCATTGCCGAATCCTTTCAAAGAAAGATATCACTACCACTCAATTTGAGGAAATGTCAACTGGGAAAATCACTGGAGTACTACAGATGTCTCAGAAACAATGAGAGTTCGACAGGGAAGAGATTGAAAAGCTGAGAAACTTATTAAAAATCCTTGAAAAGCCTACTATGGTATGTTATTTTGGTAAGGTTTCTAGTTCAGGTAAAGCTTGCGGTTCTCATAGATTAAATGTCTCAGCTAAGCTTATTACAAGTTCTTGGGTCATTGACTCAGGATCCATAAACCATATGACACATTCCTCACAAAAGTTTAGTACATATAACCTGTGTCCTAGTAATAAGAAAATTGTTGTTGCAGATGGTTCACTTACTATAGTGGCAAGATTAGGAGATGTTTAAGTTAATCCCTTGTTTGTTCTAAAAAATGTTCTTCATGTTCATGGATTGTCTACTAATCTGATATCTATACAAAAACTTATCGGAGATATGAATTGCAAAGTAACTTTTTATCCCTTTTATTGTGAATTTTAGGACCAGAGTTCGGGGAAGATGATTGGACTTGCTAAGGAGAATGGTGGATTATACTATCTTGAGACATCAAATAACTCAAGTAATATCAAGAATAGTTTACCTTTGTCATTTCTTTCTAAAAAATCTTTCAATAAAGACAAAATCTGGTTCTATCATTTTCGTCTTAGACATCCTTTTTTTGAAACTTTGAGAAACATGTTTCCTTCTTTGTTTAAAGGATTAAATGTCGAAGATTTTCATTGTGATATTTGTGAACTTGCAAAACATAGACATGTGTCTTTTCCAATTAGTAACAAAAGAAGTTTTACTCATTTTTACTTGACTCATAGTGGCATTTGGGGTCCCTTTACAATTCTTAATATTTCTGGTGCGAGATGATTTGTTTTATTCATGGATGATTGTACCAGGTTCTCTTGAGTTTTTTTATTTAAATCCAAATCAGATGTGAATAGTGTATTTTTAAGCTTTCAAAACATGATCCAAAATCAATTTGGAGTGAGAATCAAGAGATTTAGATCTGATAATGCAAGAGACTACTTCAACCAAAGTCTATCCACCTATTTCCAAAAAAAGAGGATTATCCATGAGTGATCTTGTGTTAATACTCTATCTCTATAGCAGAATGGTGTGATAGAGAGGAAAAACAGTCATTTATTAGCCACAATCTGAGCCTTTTTTTTCAAGCAAATGTACCTAAATCTTACTAGGGGAAGCTGTTCTTACTGCCACACACATTATAAATAGGTTACCTTCAAGGGTTTTGGGATTTAAAACTTCTATGAAACTACTCTCACAATTTTATCCCAACCTCAATACCACAAACAATCTTACACCTAGGATATTTGATTGTACATCATTTGTTCATGTTCACAGTCATAACAAGGGAAAGTTGGATCCAAGAGCGATTAAGTGTATTTTTGTGGGGTGTTCCTTAACTCAAAAAGGATCTAAGTGCTATCATCCTTTTACAAAAAAATTTTATGTGTCAACAGATATCACTTTTGAATAAAGTAAATCATTTTTTACTCAACCCTATCTTCAGGGGGAGACTTCATTCATGGAAGATGAGGATTAAGACTTCTTTTTGCTTGATTTGTCCCTTTTTTCAACATTTACACCTATTAATTTTTCTGAGTCGAAACTTATTTCTGCTGAATTCAAGTCAAACACTGAATTTGAGTCTGAACCTATTTCAAATACAGAAGATGTGATAAAGGATAATATTGTTCTTGATTCTATGAAGGAATTACAGGTGTACTCAAGAAGAAAAGTTTCAGATCTTGAACTAGTGCCAATCCAAGAACCTGATCCTAATTTTGGAAATGAGGTAACTATAGTTTTTGACTCTGTTTCTCAAAATGAGCATGAATCTCCTAAAACTATAACTAGTAATTATGATCTGCCTATTACCATTAAAAAAAGAATCAGAGAATGTACTAAGCATCTATTATACCCAATCTCTAATTTTGTGTCATTTGAAAAATTTTCACCATCCTACAAAAATTTTTTTGTGAGCCTAAACATTATTTCTATTCCAACTACATTATCCGAGGCATTATCCAGTGAGAAATAGAGGCAAGCCATGAAAATAGAAATGAAGGCCTTAAAAAAAATCAGACATGAAAACTGGTAGAGTTGCCTAAAGGAAAAAATCTAGTGAGGTGTAAATGGGTTTTCACTGTAAAATACAAGGCAAATGGTACTGTTGAAAAGTATAAAGCTAGGTTAGTGACTAAGGGCTACACTCAAACCTATGGAATGGATTATCAGGAAACCTTTGCTCCAGTTGCCAAGATGAATACAGTTAAGATTTTGTTATCATTACCTACAAATTACAATTGGCAGCTTCAATAATTTGATGTAAATAATGCTTTTCTACATGGTAATTTGGAAGAAGAAATATATATGAAGGTTTCACCTGGATTTGGAGGTCATCTAGAAGCAAACAAAGTATGCAGGCTGAAAAAGGCTTTATATAATCTTAAACAGTCTCTTAAGGCTTGGTTTGAGAGATTTGTCAAAGTGATGCTAGTAATGAGATATAAACAGAGTCAAAGAGATCACACATTGTTTATCAAGCACTTTGATTCAGGAAGAGTCACAGTTCTATAAGTGTATGTTGATGATATAATTGTAACTGAAGATGATGAAAAAGAGAGAATCTCTAAAACAATGTTTGGCTAGAGAATTTGAGATAAAAGAGCTAGGGAGATTGAAGTACTTCATAGAAATTCAAATAGCTCACTCACAGTATGGTATCTTAATCTCACAACAGAAATATGTGATGGATCTTTTGAAGAAAATTGGAAAGCTAGCATGTAAACCTGCAAATACCTCTATAGATCTTAATCATAAAATTGGAGAAGCTAATGAAGATGTTGCTGGAAATAGAGAGATGTACCAAAGATTAGTTGGAAGACTCATTTATCTCTCATATACTAGACCTGATATAGCATATACTGTGAGTATGGTAAGTCAATTTATACATAGTCCTAAAGAAATGCACCTACATGCTGTCTACCGTATATTGCACTATTTGAAGACCAATCTTGGGAAAGGTATCTTATTCAAAAGAAATTCGGGGTTAGTTCTAGAAAGTTATACAGATGTTGATTATGCGGGTTCAGTAACTTATAGAAGATCCACTTCAGGCTACTACATTTTTTTAGGTGGTAATCTTGTGACTTAGAGGAGTAAAAACAAAATGTGGTGGCAAGTTCAAGTGCTGAAGCAGAGTTCAGAGCAATGGCTTAAGGAATTTGTGAGCTACTATGATTAAATATTATCCTAGAAGACTTGAAGATCAAGTGGGATGGACCAATGAGACTCTATTGTGATAACAAGTCTGCAATAAGTATTGCACACAACCCTGTGCAACATGACAGAAAAAAACACATTGAAGTAGACCAGTATTTCATAAAGGAAAAACTAGATAGTGGGTTGATTTGTACACCTTATGTATCAACCAAGGGTCAACTTGCAGATATGCTAACTAAAGGTCTTAGCAGTGCAACATTTTAAGAAATTATTTTCAAACTGAGAATGGAAAACACCTATTCACCAGCTTGAGGGGGAGTGTGAAAAACACTTATTTACAGCTAGTTATAATCTTGTAATCTATGTATTTATATTTGTATCTCTTGAATTAAGTATTTTATCCCTAAAATTAATGACAAAAAATTAGGATAGACAAACCCTCAATTATAGGATTAGTTTTTTAGGAATATTTAGTTTTCTGGTTTAACCTTTAGTTAGTAGTATATAAATCTAAGGTTCTTGTATAATTCTGAATTAGCAGTTTTTCAATATACATTTAGTTTTCACACTAATTTTTTTCTTAGTTTTTTCCACAATTTCCTCTGTTGGAAAGATCGCTTGGCAAAGCTGCTTGGCATTTGCTTGAGGAGCACATGATTAAGATCTTTGCAATCAAATAAGATAACAATTCTCTTGGCTCAACAAGACTTGAAATTTGAAGGTAAGAATGTCATGCTTTTATAGTGAAACATGCATGTTAGACATAGATTCAATTGAGGAAAGACCTTAATCTTTACTAATAATTTTTGTCATTTTCAATGTTGCACATAGTTTAGTCAGGTTTTAGTTCTTTCAAACTTGTAAGAATTAGCAGAAATAGGTAGAATGCATTGCATTGAGAATGAAAACAGAACAGAACAACATAAACAATAAAATATCCACTGCCCTAGAAATTTGTCTTCTGGGGTAGTACCAAACACGATGCTCTTTTGAGAACAAAGAAGATAACATACTTAATAATAGCAGTTAAACTTGAAGCATGGCGTTTTGCTGCAAAAGAAGCTGAAGATTTCTTTGGACAGTCTTTGGATTTGAGCTAAGCATTTAGGCAGCATATGATTGGATACCAAATTGATATATTCCTTTGATTCTATCTTCATTTAGAAGTTCAGCCTTTCGGCTATATTTACAAATAGTAAGTACAAAATGTCACAACCAGAACCAGCCGAACAAAGTACATATATACTATTATCTAATGTCCCATTTAAAAAAACTGTCAATATCTTTACCATACTTCCATCTTTATACAAATGTTCTAAGAGTATTGTAACTTGAATCTAAGACCTCTCCTAAACCTCATCCTCGTAGAACCTTTATATATAAGTTAAATGATATAAATATTTATCTGTATGCACGTGTGTGCTGGCAAACATTCTGCTTGCTTGTCATGCGAGTGAAAATAATGTGAAAAAATGAATAGAAGTTTTCGATATTCATTGGTTTGATTTTCAGCCGACAGGTATTTTTTACTATGGCTACCATGTTTCATGCTTCACTTAGAGCGTTTTGCAAAGATATTCAAAAAGGAGAGATGCTGCTTCTTTTCTTTTCTCAAGTTTTCTCCATGGTATAATACATCAATGACTGTGAACTCCTTGTAACTGATATGCAGAATTGAGTAGGCTCCCAAAGATGTCAAGTATCTGATTCCCACCAAGATCCTGATGGGGGTTGTGTTGCATCTGAGGTGGCTTAGAGTAGTTGGAGGAGCTCTACAAATATTATTTGTGTAGTAGCCTGCAGTGTTAATGTGTTATTATTGTGGGAGGACTTAAATTTTTGTTCAGACATTCAGCAATCAGCATCGAAATGAGAAAGTGTATGGTATGAAATCCTACAACCTTATTTAGAAACATGTAACCTGAAACCAACCGGTGGTAGAAATGGGTCATTTTTCTATAACACCAGGCCCCACAGAAGCAGTAATAACTCTTTTTCTGGGCCCTCAATGTTTTATATGGTCGTATTTTGTATTTTGGAGAACCTTACCTAAACCTTATTATTCTCTCCTGTGATGTAACCAAGCCGAGACCCATCCATTTTCCAGTCCTGTCTGTGGGCTATTTATGGGCGCACCTAAAGTTAAAAAAAAAAAAAACCCAAAAATTTAAAAAACGATTTGAAATGTAATATTTGATCTGATTTAAATTATTTTTTATTTAATTTGAATATTATATATATATTAAATTTAAATTAAATTTTATATCGAAACAAAAAAAAAATCAAAGAATTATATATTTTTAAATGTTTAAAAAATAAAATAATTATTTTATATAAATATATTAAAAATTTTATTAAATTAATATATAAAAAATTAAAAGAAATTAAATTTTAAAAAATTAATGAATCCAATCAATAAAATTTAATAAAAATAAATAAATTCATATCAATTTAACAAAATAATTTAAATTCAAATTAAATTTTATAATTTTATAATATTATATGATTGAAAAAAAAAATCAAATCCAATTCGATCTCGTCCTATTCTTATCACCCCTTGAATTCCATTTCCGGCTGCCCTTTTCTAACAAATCTCAATCCACTGACTCACCCAAATGTCACTCTAGTCACTCCCCTCCATATATAAACCCGTTTTCACTCTTTCTCTCTTCCTTGCCCTGCTTGTCCCTCTTACCTAGACGATAAAAAATCCACTAATTTCCAAATGGCTCTGCGTTCATTGGCCACCAGAAAAACCCTAACCCAGGGCCTCAACTCGGTCAAGCTGACTCAGTCTCGTGCATTGCAGACCTTCTCGCTCCCTGATCTTCCTTACGACTATGGCGCACTTGAGCCGGCCATCAGTGGGGAGATCATGGAGCTCCATCACCAGAAGCATCATCAAACTTACATCACTAACTATAACAAGGCGTTGGAGCAGCTCCATGAGGCTATCCTGAAAGGTGATTCTTCCACCGTCGTTAAATTGCAAAGCGCCATCAAGTTCAACGGCGGAGGTAAAATTTTCTTTTCTTATAAAGATTGAAACTTTGGGACTTTTCTTAGGCTTTGAAATTAGTAAGACTTTTTTTTTCTTATTTACTTGCTTTTTTGCTTCTGGGTATCAATGTAAATATGATTTTTGAATGATTAAATGTTAAAAATGGATTTTTTTTAAACGATATGTTATTCTCTTATATCTGTTTGGCAAAGTTTCAACTTTGTTTTCATTTATTTCATGTGCCATTGTTTTGCAAAGTAAACTTATGATTTAGTGCAATTTTGATTTTTTTTTTTAAAAGCACTATTGATATTAGACACTAGCATATCTCAACGTATGAGCAAGCCATTAGGAAAGTTATATGTGGCCTCAATGATCTTTTTCTTTTTCAATTCTTTGTTTGCTATTACACTAAATTACCTGGTTGGTATCTCATGCAGGTCATATCAACCACTCAATTTTTTGGAAGAATCTTGCCCCTATTCGTGTAAGTTTCTATTTCTGAATCGTTTTTCCAGTCTATTATTGAAATATTTAATAAAGCTTGTGAATCAATTCCATCTTAACTATGGCGTTTACATGACAGGAAGGAGGAGGTGAGCCTCCAAAAGGTTCTTTGGGTTGGGCCATTGATACAAGCTTTGGTTCATTCGAATCATTGATTCAGAAGATCAGTGCTGAGGGTGCTGCTTTGCAGGGCTCTGGTTGGGTGGTAAGTAATTTAGTTTGCTAAGGCTTCACTTTTTATTTTGTGTCTTTGGGTATCTAGTTATTAATTGTTTTCATCTGTCATTGCTTATTTTTTCTTCTCTTGTTTGCTTGCTTTCTGTCTTGACAGTGGCTTGGAGTGGACAAGGAGTTGAAAAAACTTGTGATTGAAACAACTGCAAATCAGGTATGTTGCAATATTTAGCTTGAAATCCACCAAGAACAATTATTGGGTTTTCTTGGTTTGCTCAATTGCATGTAAATTTACTTAATTTCTATTGCCCTGCATAATCTGCGTTTCTGGAAGACTTGTTATTATAATTGAGAATATCTGATATGAGATTATGTCCTCTAGAATATGTAACCATGCAACGGGACTGTTGGCCATTACTTTATAGGTCTATGATGTGAGATTTTTTTAAGAGAGGTCGCTTGCACTCAGTTTCTATAAGATTGAATTTTTGTCAAGTTTTATACCCTCTCTCTTTAGAGTTGCTTTAATCGTAAAATGTTAGAAGTTGAGAAGATTCTGGGAGGTTTAATATAATTATGAAATATTTGCCGCAGGATCCACTTGTGACTAAAGGGCCAAATTTGGTCCCTTTGCTTGGCATAGATGTTTGGGAGCATGCATATTATTTACAGGTAAATTTTCAAACTTTAAGTTGTCCATTGCACTAAGAGCTCAAATGTTAATTAAAGATAAGTGATGAGTAGCTCAATCTATTCTTAATGGTGAGCAAGACAATGCCAAAGTAGCCTTTTGACTTTAATGATCCTTTACTTTGATTTTCAGAACTTTGATTTTTATTTTTTGTTTCCTTTGAGGAAAAAAAAAAGGATAGAAGTGTTCCTGATTAGAGAAAGCAACTCATTTTCTGTGCTTCAGTTGTGGTTACTGCCAATACTTGGTCAGCATAAATGGGCTGAGAAATCAATTTCTGTTACTTTAAAATGGATAATATTACCATGTCTCACCTTCATAATTATCTGGTTTTAAACTCAGAATGCATCCTAGGTGGGGAAATTAGGTATAGTTTCTTATATTTGCTAATCATTTTGTCTCTCTTTGATTTTTGATGTGCTTTTTACGTGACCCTTTGACTTATCTTTTTGTGGTGCAGTACAAGAATGTTAGACCAGATTATCTGAAGAACATATGGAAAGTCATCAACTGGCAATATGCAAGTGAAGTGTACGAGAAAGAATGTCCTTGAGCTGGGAGCCCTTAAGGTATAGAATTAAGATTGCTGCCTTTTGGTTTTGGCAAGGGGAATAATATGATGTATTCTTACTGATGAAGGGTCCCTTTTTGTTTTTAATTTCATGTGTATGTGTACTGTATGAGAGTAAATAATATTGAGCTTTATGCTCAAGTATGTTGTTTCTCCCTTGTGAATTTATACTTGCCCCCTGTTCTTGGGTTTTTGCTTGACTGTTTCAGTGGAAATACCATTTATGCAATCATTCGGATGTGTTGTTGGGTCGGATTAGTGCTTATGATACCGCATACTGTTATAACAATGTTTTTCTTGGTTGGGAGTACATAAATCTTTAGAATAGGATCACCAATATTGGAATTTTTTTAATAGTTATTTTTATTAGGTCCATGATTAGTGTTCTTTTTTTTTAATAATAATAATAATGTTTGTTATTTGCATTAAAAGAGTGTTGGTGTGGTGAATATTATTCTGTAAAATCTTAGGAGATATCACATCCATTATATATATATAATTACAAAGTAAGCTATAATTCATTTAAAAAAAAGAGTAGCCTTCAAATCAGAAACATAGCTATTAAGGGTTTTAAAATTAACAATTTACATGGATGATGGATATTAAAAAATTCAGCTTGATAATGTTTCTCAGGTCGTTGGGAAATCAGCCATTCTTGGTTTTTCACCATTTCTCCAAGAATATGTGTGTGTGTGTATATATATATATATATATATAGTTTCCAAATCGTCAAACTTAATCAAAGCTAAAAGCTAAATGCGCCATGAGTTGACCTTCATTGGTTCCTAATAACACAAAGTAATTAACAGAACAAACTACAAACATTACAGTTAGCAGAATCTATTTTATAATAACAGATAGTAAATAGATTATATATATATATATATATATGAGAATACACTATAATCTTAAAACCAAATTAACTTTAAAAAGACCTGATGATATCCAGATATTCCTATGAGGAAATTTATTTCATCAAGTTTACATAGCACAAAAGCATGTCCTAATATATATAGTCAGATTTTATTACAATAATACAAGTAAAAGCATTCCCTGACTTTCAGCATGCATGGCCACCTGATAATACAACAACAACAACAACAATAACATTACATAGAGAAAAACATATACAGTGCAACTACTGGTAGAAAGGACAAATTTATTGTGAGGAAGAAGAAAAAACCACCCAACCAGACAGAAAAAGAAAAAAAAAAGTAGAAGATTTTTATAATAACCTCAAATTTCAAAAAAGTTATCTACAAGAACAACTAAAGATGCAGTAAATTAGTTATGAACATGTCCTTACTTTAAGCACAGTTCAGGCCTTTCTCGATAGCTTTGGCCCTAACCTGCTCCTTTGTTACGTCATCCAGATCATTGTCAAGCACCACTTGTCCATCCCAATGGTGATTTTTTTGCAAGTCCATAACAGCGTACACGTCATTCTCGCAGGAAATCTTCAGTTGGGCAGAATGTTTCAGCTCGTTTCCCACTATTGTCATCTCATTTCGCTTGTGTTGCTTCTTGATTGCCATATCAACCCGAATGTTATTTAGAAGATCAGCTGTATACATCCCTCTAGCAGTATTCGATGTTTCTCGGCTTTCTTCCAAATAAAAGTTCATTTGTCTATCCAATGCCCACAGTTCTTGGAGGAGATTGGAATAAGACGTAACAGAAGTCATTTTGGGGGAAGGGAAAACTTGAAGGAGAGAATACACGAAGAGGCAACTTAAGCTTTGATGGATCTGATGAAGGAAGCAGTATTTATAGCATAATGAGATACAATTTTTTTTTGGAATCCAGTCCAGCTGTGCTAATGTCATTTTCTTTCTAATTACTTCTCTACATCAGAAACTAATTGCGAGAATTAATGATTACTTTACAAAACTTCATTTTCGATTCTGCAGTGGACGAAGAAAAGGATTTTAAAGAAAGAGTAGTCTCTGATAAGGGTTCTTTTGTGGGATTTGCAGTCTTCCAAATTTGAGAAATTAACACCCAATGTTCCCAGAAAACTTATTTATCTTTTTCTCTACTCTTAATGTTAATACTCTCATTTCCATTTAACAAGTTGGGAATATATAAAAACATAAATAACTTCATTTTTTTTTTACATTAAGCTTCTCAACATTTTTTTTTTTTGTTACATCAAGAGAGCAAAATTTTGGTATAAGCAAAGAGAAGGGGAAAGACTTTGTTTGAAACTAAACTCTAGATGTTTTCTCAAATGACTTTAATTACTATACTAAACGCTTGGGAACTAATGCCGACTTGCCGTTAAGAGTGTCAGTGATACCAAGATTTGAACCAGGGTCACATGTTGAGTTTGCTTGAAGACAAGGAAACCTGCCATGCTCCAAGCTGGCAACGCTTCTTTTAATATATTAGTTCTTTTGGGTGAGACGTTTTTATCACAGGCTCAATTGCAGGGCGTTGCAGAACAGTGACGGCCTGGCCTGGCTATGGATCAGTTCTTCATTTGGATTTTGGACCTTTGATGAAAAAGATTTTGTTACAGAACTTAGAAGGTCTGGCGTTGTACAGTAACGAGGGTCTGGCTGCCCTTCAGTTCTCCATTTTGGTGAAAAGTTTGTGTTTCAGACTTTAACAGTGGCGTTGGATAACATTGACTGGTCTAGCTCTTCTTCAGTTCTACTACACGTGAACTTCCACCGAAATTTTCTTTGTTACAGGCTTAACTGCGCAGCGTTGGAGAATAGTGACAGGCCTTGACTGATCTTGCAGGCCAGTTCTCCATTTCTCGATGTGTTGCACTTCACCTGGCAAAGTAGCGTGCACGTTCACTTGGGATTACTGGGACCTATCAACTATAAATTCACAATGAATAACAGACCTTATATCATTCATTTTTGGACTTACTATTTCACAACTTAAATGTCCTAGTTTTAATTCTTTTGTTTAGTATCGCATTACTTGTATGTTCACAATGAATACTATTGTCATTTCAATTTTGACAATTGAGCTACCAAACTCTTTATTTGTCACAATGAAGAAAGGCACTAAAATATTGATAAAATCACAAGAAAAATGCAAATGTCTATTCTATAAATGTCTGCTATATATTATAATGTGAAACGTTGCAAATCCAGCATAAATTAAATCAGTGCAATGCATACGTTGCTTATCTAACAAATTAGTTAGGATCAGCATAAATTATGGTTACGCTTAAAGAAACAATAATAATAATTGCACAACACTAGGATGATACATGAAACTTGAGAAATTTTCCATTTAAGCAAGCACTGAATTTGATTTGAGTTTCATCTTCACTTCATCCAAGCAAGCTTCAAGATCCCTGAATTCTTTCATGCCTGAAAAGCTCCTTCCCTAGGAACCCACAATTCTACTCCCATCAGTTATATCTTTACAAACTAGTTAACAAATAAAATAGTGATTGACATAAACATAAAAACACACATTTGATAAATGAGGAAAATGCTGCAACAAACAAAATTTATCTTGCACATTAAAAATACAGCTATCTTTTACCTGTTTTAGTACGTTCTGCAGGTGCATCTCCGCTATAAGGAGTTCTCGATGACTACCAGTGGAGGAAGAAATATTCATGTAAATCTTACAAAGTTCCAAGGATGAATGCGCAAACCTTTTAAAGCGGTCTCCATCTTTCCACAAATCAGATCCCTGAGAGAGAGAGAGTCATGACAATCATACAGTGATAAGTATAAATGAAAGCAATTTAAAACCATCAGAGAGAGACATCATAGAAAGGATGATGACCATTTTCTAATTGGATAATTAGAACTTGTCAAAAGATAGGATATGATTGCAGTCAAAAACAAAAAGGGAAAAGAAAAATGAGACACAAAAAGCCCAAAGGGAAGCAATGCATAAATTTGAACCAAAAAAAAAAAAAGCCTTATGGAAGAAGAGAGCTGGTATAATATTTCTATTATTCTGTTCAATATTACAAAATCAAAGATTACTTCTGAGTAAGAATGTAAAAACAGAGGGAATACAATTCCTCATACCAACATTCCTAAATCTTACAATAAAATTTATTTTAACAGAATGGCATGATTAAGCATTTCTATGCACGCACAATTTATTAAGATGATATGCTTCCTGGAAAAAAATGTAGCAAGAGGCCCAAAAGAATCTAGCAATAGTAAGATATGGATGATAGCAAAATGCATGACTTTGTTAGATGTTCAATGCAGATACCTGATACAATCTGACTTGCTTTAAGAGTGCCTCGGAGCACATTGTGAGGTCACCATTAATTCTATGCCACCTTGCGTATAAGCCCCACAACTCTGCATTGCTCTCATGTCTAACTATCTGCACAGGACAAGAGTTAATATATATTGAATATAATGCTGATATTTTTTCTAGGCCTATGCATCATCCTATTTACTTTGTGCACAATTGGAACACATACAGAAAGAGTATGGCGTCCAGTTAATTAGCAATGCACAATAAAAAACTTTAACAGAAGCATATTGTAGACCAAAGCATTTTTGCATGGTCAGACTACTGCTTGCACATGGCGTTATGTCAAGGCATAGATGCATCCAGATCAGCAGCAACAGATCGCACTTGACAATTGTCTTTAAGCATAAGAGATAATAAAGGCACCAATTAATTTGATCCATATGGTGAGAAACTTTATTATAGATTTTCTGAGGAAAGAAAATAACATAAAAACAATCATGAAAACATCAAAAACCTGTCGTAGAATTTTCCCAAGAAATTCCACCAAATGCTCGTTTTCTCGCGACTTTGTTATATTTTTCTCTGCATTTGCTAATTTATTGACAGAACCAGTTCGTGAACCTGTACAGACTTTATTGGCACAATAATCACCATTGATCACTGTTGAGTGACTAAGTGAAGAACTTTCCTCCAGATATTGTATAATTCTATCCAGTAATTCAACATCAATTCTTTTATTGTTGGTCACAGCCAACACCATCTTAACAGCTTCCAGGGCCTACAAAAAGATAATGTTAAGATAGCAAAATAAACAGAAAGATAGACAAATAAAAGGATAAATTGAAGTATAATCACAATAATAATTGCAATAATTATCCTAATTACAGTTAATAAGGAAAAGACCACACGCAGATTAGGAATTCTAGCACATAAATCTAGCTATATGAAAACTTCCAAATTTATCAAAGGCAATTCCATCTAGCCATTATAATCTAGTAATTTAGTTTAGGTTAAACTGGAACAACAGATGGAAAAGATACACCACCTCGCTTGTGAACTAACTTCAGATGAGGTGAGTTGTCTCTTTTTATTTGCTCTTATTAGCATCTCAAAAAAAAGAACCAATTTATATTGGTATTTGCGAGAAGAACAACCTTTTTATAAAGGTTCAATGGACAGGATGATAGTCACAAGTTAGGCTGAATTAACATTAACTAAAAGATCATGATTATATGAAGATACATTAAGGAGTTTAACTAGCTTGCAATTTTTAAAGGGACATAACAGGCATGAAATTAAGCTAAAAGAGGAACAAACACTCGGACACCAACAAACGAATGAAAGTTTAGTTAGTTGCAACATAAAGTGCTATAATTTATAATTTGATGGAGGGAAAGTATCAACTATGGCTTCCTAGTTGGGATGTCAAGCACAAGCTCAACTTGTTCTAGGACAAAAAAGAGACAGGAGAATGTTTACTTAGATTATATATGTTTTCATATTTTCCTTCTACATTGCTCACATGATCAGCCTGAAATGAAAACATCTCCCTTTCGCCTCTCAATTCATTAGATTCACATATCTCCAAACTTATTAACAATTTTCAAAATCAAAACAGATATGACAAATCTGTCAGCAAAGATATTTCAATTATTCAGCAAGCTAAAAGTATTATGCCCTTAAAATCCAAAGAAGATACCTTAATTTGAGACAGACCAAACTCAGTTCAGAGTAAGAGAGGTCACTCATAATTATTTAAATGTGAGATTTTTTGCATCTCTCTGCTGCAGACAGCAAAGAGGCTAATTAGCGGATTAAACTACTTAAGATTTCATTATTACTTCATTGTATTTTATGGGCGTCATTGTAATTTTCTTATAGATTTAGCCACTTAGTTTTAGATAATGTAGGCAATTTTAGAATTTTGCTTATTTCCCAATTATTTGAGGCTTAGGTTCTAATTGACATTTTGCATTTATATTGGGGTTAAGGATCTTAGTTGGGCTCTTTCTTATCCTATGGGGTTTTGTTTTATGTTAAGGTTGTTAGTTTAGCTTTCTATTTGGAGTTAAGTATATTTAAAGAAGCCTAGGCATCCAACTGTTGCTCTCTTCTGTTCTTAACTTTTTACAATAAAGCTTCATATAAAATAAGCATATACTTCTAAGAAGGGCCAAGTAGATGAATTTCTTGATGTCGAAACTGATTAGCCCTAACAAGAGTAAGCAGCTCAAAACAAACTGCATGGGCAAGATTACCTGAAAGATATTGCCAACGTCCAAAGCAACATGACTGTAGTTTTCCCACAACTGCCAGCTGTCACGTCTGTCAGCAAATCAAGTTATTGGTTAGTAGAGTGATAAAAGGTCTACTTCTAAACACATCCATTCAGTAGAGTTCTCAAGTACATGACAAATTAGGTAGAAAAAAGTACTTAAATTTCAAGGCCTCCTTGAACGCAATGAAGGACTCTTTGCTCTTCTTCCTAATCATATGCCTGCATGGTCAAAGAGAATGTTCAAAGTGATTAACAGTGCCCACACATGAATTTTGCATGTTCAAGAACTATTTATTATCAATGATACCATTATATCATTAACCTTACTCCACCATCTACATGCAAAATACAAAACCAAATAGATCTAGATTAAAACAAGACAGGATCTCAATGACTAATGGTTAGAGAAGTTGATATACAAATCTAAACTCCACACAAGTCCTAAAATATAATCTTCTCCCTTATGCCTTCCCAGCCTCAAAAGGAAGCATGTCTCAACTCCTACATGTCCAACGGCTCACATTCTCTTTCCTTAGAGGTCTCCATGAAACTTTCTAATGGTTTTCTTTGGTTTCAAACCAAATGCCTTCTTCAACTGGGAAATAACTCTTCCATAGTTTGGTCCCAATCATAATTTTCCTCAATAGTAGCTTTAAGCATACAACCAAGCAAAAAACTTGAGATAAATTCCAATTGTAAGGACCATATTTCTCTTTGGAAAAAAAAAAAAAAGGTTCATATTGCTACTTGAGATACGAGTATTTCTTATTAAACTAGAAGTTAAAACTCTCAATTACATGTAGCAGAGATCAAGAATATTTGTAACCATATGGCAAAATACTCCACTAACTTACAATACACACACACACACAGAAGAAGAACACTTCCATATTTCATTTGATGGGAGATAAAGGTCTGCGACAAGATAAAAGGGGTTCACCTTTTTTTTAATGTCTTTTCTCATTTGGGGATGTGGCTTCCTATTTTCCCTATCACCTTTCCTTTTATATAATAGTGATTAACAATACAAAATCAAACTATAACCATCCAACCTCTTCTCTTGATGGCAGAGTACACAAACATTCCAAGTATGAACAGATACAACATTTTGGCTAAATAGATTTGCTCACTGCATTCCAACTGCTCTTAAAACTATAGAATCATCTTTAAGATACCACCGAATTGAATGCACTAAAAGCATCAATATTCAGTTGATGAAATGATTATGCACTAATAAAGCAAAAATCAAAATGGTCAATGCTTTGAATTTTCATTGAAAAGATCCTATCAATTGACTTTGACCAACAAAAAAAAAGTTGTAGCTTTTTTTTTTTTTTTGCCAGAAAATACCTACTTGAATCACACAAAAACTAGTAGATTCATTTTGACAAATAGAAAAGTGAACTCTCATTTACTGGCATAATTTTAGATGCAATGCAACTGATACAGTTTGGATATAATGGTAATCTAGGAAACCTAAAAACCCAAGTGAGAAAACATAAAACAACCCCCACCTTATTGGAGAATTCCAACAAGGCAAATCACCCAATCAGCATATAGATGATCCAAGTCATTGGCAGTTTTAAATTAGGCACACACACATTCACATAGACACAGCCACACACACACACACACACACACACACACACACGTATATATGAGACAGAGATATGACAAATAAATTATATAAAACAACAGAGAAAAGAGCATACAAACAAGCGATATTATTCCACGCCTCCCCATTTTCAGGATCAAGTTGAACAGTACGAGTAAAAGCATCAAGGGCCTTTTCAGCATCTCTAGCCTGAGTATCATGAGCATAAGCATAAGTTCTAATATCGTGAACAGAGAAAATATCCAACTGTTTGACATGAGTTGAAAAAATCCTTTGCCTTACATATATACTCTCCAAAGTGCACCACAATCAGTGCAAACATGAAAAATAAAGATGAAAATGTTTCATACCTTCAATGCAGCAGCACCAAGAGCAAACCATCCATCCGGATACAAAGAATTCAAGGCCATGACAGACTCCCTGATTTCAGAATAACTTAATGCCCATTCAAATAAATTGTAATCTAGAAAAACTATCAGTTATACTATAACATAAACGAGAGTAATGGCAATCAAGAAAATATACCAGAGTATCTTAGCTGTCTGATAGTCTCCTCTAGCATACGCGCTACAGGCAAGAGATTGCTAACACAGAAAATTAAGCACAAATGTAAAAAGACAAAGATATAAACATAACACCACCCATTGGATTAAAAGAAATATAAATCACCTTAGCTCGGGCTGACCTATCATGCGACACTTCCAATGCTTTCTCAAAACAGGCATCATCATTTGTAATGTCACCCAATGAACACCTAGAAATTAAATTATTGCATGTTAGACATATTATGCTAAACCTAAATGTTGTTAAGTTTTTAATTGCCTCACCAAAGCATGATTTTTTTATTTTTTACATATATAAGCCCCAAATCCATGCATACACAAATAAAACAATAGCAACAAATTAGAAACAACTTTATAAGACAAATGAGAAATCTAAAAATATGCTACATGAGTAGCACTCTAACTCAAGCCTTAAGGCACTAAAGCTATAGATATGGTGAGAAGATGTAAAAATTGATATATGAATAACTCCACAGAAAGCATAAAAAATTTTCTTTTTTGTTTTTTTTCCTACTCTTCTTTCTTGAATATATTTAGAAGTTGAGGAATACATTTCATCACACAGACAAAAGGGAAAGGGAAGGAGGTGGGCAAGGGTACCCCATAATATAAAAACCAAAAACAGAAGTGAAAGCAATAAAACATTGACTCAAAGAAAATGTACATGACTTCAACATATTCTGGTCAAAATTCATGAAAAGTTGAAAAGGAATAAGGAAACACGCATATCAATGAAGATACATTCTTTTCATGTTTTATAAAACTTGAATAAGTACCTAAATCTAAGTTTTATACATGATCAACTGAATCATTGGCAAATAGAAAGCCAATAAAGTTAACCCAATTTAAGACAAGGAAAAAACAACTCAAGCACAGGAATCAAGATTACTAAGGCCTAGTTTGGCATGTGATTGCAATAAAGACTGCAATTGATAGCAAACTGACTGCAGTTGCAAAAGCAGTTACCAACTTGCTTTTGCATTGAGAAAAAATTCATTGCAAACAAGGTTTTTATCACAAGATTTACCTTGTTTGGCATCATGTTTGCAGTTAAATTCAATAATGGCAATCAAACATAGCTCCCCTCACAACGCCAAGTGGGGCCTAAGGCATCTTACCTAACGGAATCATCTTTCAAACAACAAGCTCCTCAAAATGTTATAAAACACAAAGTATAAAACAAACAAAATGATACAAAACCAGGGTGAAGATAGATAACATAAAAAATAAAAAAAAAAGGATCAAAAGATCAAAATGTTTAAGAAATCAGATCTCACCCAAACAAAATTTAACTTGATACATAAATATAAAATGATGGAACTAATAAAAAAATCTAGTCAACATACCATAACCTTGGGTCATTGGGCATCTCAGAGAGTCTTGTCTTAATGAGTTCAACAGCAGCTGCTTTCTTTCCTAACAGGCTGTTTAATTGTGTCACATTCCACATGAGATTCAAATTAGCAACAAAAAGAAAATGATTAGTACAAAAGAAGATATTGACTTAAACAACAGCTGTTAGTTCATTATACCGGTAGCATTCTATTAGATTATCCCATAACTCTATATCCTCAAAAATTTTAATTGCCTCTCCAATCAAGCCGCAGCTAACTAAAAGCTCACCATATTCCCTACAATACAACAAAAAGCAAAATAAAAGGAAGACTATATAACATAAGAACAGCATATAGAATTAACAAAGCAACTAGCTGTATTGAGCAAGACAGGTTATAGATCCAGAACAAACTCTATAGAAGAAAGGAAGATGGTAATATGATGGCACTTAATGAAAAAAAAATAAAAAATAAAAATATCAGTCTTGTTGGTCACTCAAAGAAAGAGAAAGAAATAGTTTTACTTTCTGATAGTAGGTATTGTTAGGATATCAACGACATAACAAAAAGGAAGCCTTTGTGAAACTCCAAGAGAAGCCTTATTAATCCTCTCAACCTGAAATAATGCAATGTATATTTGTCATGAAGCAATTATCTCCAAACCAGAAAAAGGACCCTCAACATAGTAAAACTGAAAGCACGATGCACTTGGAATAACTTCAGGAACAAAAAGATGTAATTAAAGAAGCATCAATCTTATAAATACCCAAAGTTAACAAAAGCAACAAATATCTAAAGGCAATCTTGTTTAATGCCTTAAAAACAACAAATAAAAATAGGTGACCAAGTCGGTGGTTTAACCATTGGTAACATTCATAGAAATTAGTATGTAATATGGCAAGTGTAAAATACTTGATAAGTGCTAATGGTCCATTGTAGTTATAGAAAAACATATAAAAATACAATAGAAGGCAACCAACTATAAAAACCTAAACCAACAATATGTTTAAGAGAGACCATGAAAGCATCAACAAATGGACGGCCTTCATACCAGGTTATGCATCATCTGAAATGCACGCTCCTTTGTGCGACTGCGAGTTGACTCCCAACGAATCCGTAAAATATCACAGAAACATCGTAACTGAAAAGAGTGAAAGCATGCACAAAATTGAATAAAGTTCAAGATACATGAACAAACATACATTCTTTTACAAATATATTTACATATATGCAATTAAAGAACACATATTCCTCCGTGACATGCTTATTTAAGCAAGCCCCGTGATTAAGGTGCAAAATCTTTTAGAAATGAGATTTTTCATTCAATAAGTTCCATTATTAAAGATTAAAACAGTGCACGACGCTCCTGTGTCATCTTTTTTTTGGCACACTGTATTATGTGTTTAATTGAAATAGTTAAGTGGATAGTACTGTATATGTAAGCTTACGATGAAGTATGACGACTGCTGAGAATCAATTGCCTCTATGTATGGAGCCATATCCCATCCTGAAAAACATTGTGCGGTAAATCAGTAAGCAAACCAAGCAAAATACCCTAAATATTTTTCCTAACAGTGCTATGAACTGAATAGACAAAATAGTTACAAATAAAAAAGTCTCATGATATGCCTACACAAGTTTCATAAACAAAAGATAAAATGGAGCCTAATAAATTAAGAAAAGAAAAAAGCAGGAAGAATTCATTGAATTAATTTGAATAATGATCAGGTTTGCAGTACTCTAATTTAAGGGTGCATAGAAATAACTTAGGGGATCTGGGAAAAGAAGCTAATGTTTGGGCAACAAGAGTTGATTTGCAGGGTATATTTCTTGATTTTAGTTGAAACAGAAAATGCATGGCTTCAAAACAATTTGAATTTAAAAAAAAAAAAGGGAGTCAGAATGAGATTTATCTGACAATGAAAACAATATTTAAAGCACTTGTGCTCTTTGACCTTTTGTCCTTAGTTCAATAACAACATTATGCAAAACATTGTCCATTGTTTAATTAAAAAAAATCTGCCTTAAAATTGCTATTCAAGCTAAAATTACAATTATGTCCTCTTCAGAAAGAGGGAGATTCAAAAGATATGCAAGTCGTATCTCATTTTACAAATTCAAAAGAAAACTCATACTAGCAAAATTTTTCATCCAGATACTGTTTTGAGCATCTTACCTTGCATTTCATCTTGTCGGGTACTTGATAGAATTAGAAGGCATTGGGCTAAGACCACAGCCTGCTGTACTGCCGTTAAAGGGGCACCAGCATTGTCACAATTTTGAAAGCATTGTCCATTGTTTCCACAATGGTTACCATTCTCTAACAGTTTTGGGGCTATAAATATGTCAGAGTCTTTGTGGATGCTCGAACAATATGACTTCAAGCCAGGACTTGATGAGGTGCATGTATCATTACTACTCTTCGAGCTTTTGTTTGTAACCAATACCATTTGGGCTTTTGGTTCTACCTAAGGCCATAAAGGGCACCTAATACTAAGAATAACAGAAAAAGAATTTCCAACAAAGCGTTATTATTTATTTTCATTGATTTACCTGATGTACAGTACGTAATCCAAGGACCCCGGTAACAGAGAGCTGAAGGCTAGCTGCCATTAAAGCTGACTCAAAATGTTGCCTACACGACCAAAAACAAGCTTGAAGTGATTAAGACATATCTATCTCCACAATCGACAAGGGAAAAGAAAACAACTTCAGATCAGAAAGCTCGAGTAGTCCTTTAGCTATTAAAGAATTGACACATAGGTTGTTAGCAATGCTTATGCATTAAAATTAACAAGATTTTTAAAGATTACAAGTCTAAATAAATTCACTTCCCTTCAAATGGTAAAATCAAAATCAGATATTGAACATATATGTATCCAACCACATACACACACGAGCATACACACACCCACACACACACACACACACACAAACATACATACATACATACATACATGCATGCATATATATACATAAAAAGCACCTTTGCATCTTAGTGTGGACATAATACCCCACCCTTGCACTTCAATTGTAACCAGACTGATCTGTTTCTTAAACTTGATTCCAAACAGAAAGTTGGATTCTTATACTCTTATAAACTAGCTCTGACACTGTTTATGCCTTTGAGCGTATATAATCTTTTTTAATCCTTCCATAAACGGACAGCTAGTGATATTATCAGGTGTAAACCCTCTTATTCACCACTTGTAGTTCATATTATGCATCACACAGTCATATGTCTGAGGAAGTGAAGATGAAAAATAATTTGGTCAGGATAGCAGAATCATAAATAGGTAAAATATAATTAACACTTATGTGTTAGTAGAATTTCATGGATTGAGAATATTGCCTCACAATATTTTCTACCATAATTGAACAGTTTACTAACTTCAATGGAAAATGAAATTTAATCAACAAAATGAAAATAGATGAGTGCACTTTTATTTCACACATTGCACCAAATGTTAACACTCGAAATAAAAAGATTTATTCAAATGCTATTCCTAGCAAAGATAAATATCATATTAAAATGCAGAACATTCAACTTGAAATTGTTAAATCCCCCACACTATGTACAGAACCAAAGAATCAAAACCGTATCAAGTGTTCTTTTTGGCACTTAAAACACAGAAGTACATTACATTGCTTCACCAGGTTAGGACATAATATATTATACCCTACATGAGTACATGCATTCTAGATTAGTGCCAATGAGGGGCAACTGGTAAAACTCAAATCCCAGATGACTTACTATCAACACAAACAATTCACTAATTGAGTCAACTCCTTGTTGGCATATGAGTCAAGGCTAAAAGACAAGAATGCATTCACATATGGAAAGAAAGTATCCTTTGCACCTATCAACTCTACTCGACATCTTTCAAAATGGAGATCAATTTGGCAATGAGTCCACAAAAAAAAAAAAAAGTCATTACCCTGAGAAGAGAACTTACCTGCAAGGATCAGGTCGGCTATAAAGGTATTCCAGCACTCCTGCTTCTAAATGTACGACTGACACAATAGTTGTCACTTCTCCATCAAGCAACTTTGCACCCCAATAACTTGTCACATTTTCCAAAGTTCCAAAATGATGTAAAGTCTCACCCATAAATACTTGCAATAAGTCAAACAAAGAAGAAGACCGCTCACTCAAAATTCTTTGGTGAAAAAGTAGGAATCGAAACAGCCACCAGGAAATGCTTCTAATTCCAAATGTAGACATCATAGTTGCTTCAAATAACAAGTCTCTTGTCTTCAGAAGCAACATTTTAGCAAAAACAATGTACTACAAAACAAAAGAGATTATGTCAATAAAAAATGAAAGGCAACAGATCACACAAGGTGAACAGCGATAAGGAAACTAGACCCTCACACCAAAAGTACCCATGTAGCAAAATTTCATTTTTAGATAGAGAATAAACTATGATATATGAGAAAAAAAAATTCTAAAACCATATAAGATGCAAATATGAAGCCACCAGTGATCACACTTAATTTGAAACAATTCCCCTTGTATGAAAACTGTGATTTTGATTAAGGCTCCTCTTGATTGCCATTTTTCACACTTGCCACTTTGCTTTGTCAGAATTTTCTACACTTGCTTTGTCAGAATTTTCTACAAAGCTAAAGCAATAGCAAAAAAAAAAAAAAAAAACTGCTTGTAGGTTTCAATGACAACTAAAGCCTAAAGGGAGCCTAGATTAAAATTATTAAAATGATCAAAATAGGTCAAATGTAACACAGATTCGAGCAAACAAATGGAAAAGCACGCATTTTGCTATTTGCAAAAAAAAAAAATTTTAATTTATTTTGTATTTAAACGCTTTTTTTTTTTTTGACATTTTGCTTCTAGAAACAAAAGCAAATACCTAAAGTAATACAAATAAGAAATGAAAGATACCTGGAGAAAAGAGAATTTGCCAAGCAAATCAGAGCCAGCAGCCATTAGCTCATTCCTCGCCCAATTCTCCCACTCTTCCATTCCACCACCTTCCCACCACGCCTTCATCGGCAAAGGACGCTTCAATAATCCCTCCACTGGCCTATTTTTTTTTTAATTTTCAATTCAAATTCAGTTATTCCATATTCACAAAATAACAAGAACAAGGTTTATTTTTCTCCCAATTTTCTAATTTAACTATTCAAACAAGTAAAAGGTGAAGCTTTACCCAGTCAAATTACTCTGAGTGAAGTAGAAAAAGGCAGCCACAGCAATGCACATAACAAGAACGACTCTAAAGGCTTTGGCGGAATCATCCACGGAATCGTTGGATAAAAACGAGTGAATTCGATCCAGTAACTCCAAGTAGGCTCGCTCGGGCGTTTCAGATAGCTCGGACTCAGGCGAGTCGAGGACGAGTCGAGCTGCCTTGGAGGAAAGAGCTCCAATATAGTCTCCAGTCTCGATGGAGATGAGGATGTCCGAGATGAGAGCCTTGAGAGGACAATCTGAGGCATTGCAATCAGACGGTGGAGAATGAGGAGAAGGATGCGACGGTGGAGGACGGAGGGTGCAGCGTAGGAGGCGGAGCTCGTAGCCTCGCAGGATTCTAACTTCGTCTCCACTCATGTTTAGAGAAGACGGCACCCGCACCCGCACCCGCCCTAATTTAAATCTTAAAAGTGAACTCTTGGCAAAAAAGTGAAAAGTAAAACAAGTAGGGTACAATTGAAAATAAAAATAGTACAAGGCCGTAAGTGAAATTTTAGGGCTTCAGCGGATACAATCGCCCAACTATAAAAGCAACATTTTTTCGTAAGTCTACTCTTGCTCTCATGCACCAAACCCTAGTTGCTAGCCGGCAGAAGCAGAGAGCCTCCAAAACCTACACCTCATCCCCCAAACTATGGTTAGATCTTCATTTAATCTCTGTTTTTGCATCTGGATCTTTTTTCAAACTTTAATCTTTCTCACAAATTTGATCACTTTGGTCGGATCTTTTCTTTTTTTTTTTGTAGACTTTCAAACGTAGGAATGGTGGCCGCAACAAGCATGGCCGTGGCCATGTCAAGTTCATTCGCTGCTCTAACTGTGGAAAATGCTGTCCCAAGGTACTTTACATCTGTTTTTCTCATCTGGGTCTTTGGTTTTTTCTCTGTTTTTTTTTTTTTATTTCTATTGAAGAATTATTTTTTATTTGTTTTTTTTCTTTGTTTGGAATGTAACAGGATAAATCAATCAAGAGGTTCCTTGTGAGGAATATAGTGGAGCAAGCTGCTGTCAGGGATGTCCAGGAAGCCTGCGTCTATGACAGTAATTTTCATTTCATTTAATTTCTGAATTATAGGCGAACTTCCTTTCTCATTTTATTGCATATATTTGGATATATTATTTGCTGATGCATTGGTTAATGATATGTAGCCTACACTCTGCCTAAGCTGTATGTGAAGATGCAATACTGTGTTTCTTGTGCGATCCACTCCCACGTAGTGAGGGTCCGGTCCCGCACTGACAGGAGGAAACGTGACCCACCACAGCGCTTCATCAGACGCAGGGTATATCTTTTTATAACCCATAATTTTATGCTTTTCACCGTCAATAATCTATGTTTGATGTGAATAAATTGTGATTCCTCTTGCCTTGCTTGGATTGTTTATCATTTTATTGTATCTCATGATTTTATTATGATAAAGTTTTGTAATTATCTTACTAAACGTATGTTTTTGTTATCATCTAGCATCGGGTTGTTATGGGGTTTAAGCTATTGAACTCCTTTGTAGATTTTTTGCCCTATGACCACTGTTAGAGTGGTTCTTTTTATATATGGAATGATAGAAATGTATTTTGGCAATTCTTCGACTGCTCATCTCCTTCTTAAGCAGATGCTTAATGCTTCAGGGTTGGACTAGTCCCTAATACCTAATAGCCATCTGAGTCACTTTGTCAGTTGCCTTTTTTGGTGGCTTATCGATCATTATGGGATAGGAAATGCCTTGAATATGGTATAACTTATATATGGAAATCATCCATAAGACTGAGTTTTAGCAACAGTTTACTGATTATGATCCATGACCATCATTAGAATAATTCTCTCTACTATTTCATATAGGATGCAATTCTTTAGGGACTTATGTCTGCCCCTTCTGCAGAATTTTTAAGTGCTTTAGGAATGAACAAGTCCCTTATACCTAATATCCATCTAAATCACTTTGTCAGTGGCCTTTTTTGTGGCTTATTGATCATTATGGGATGGAAACTGCTGTAGAACTAATTTAAGTGATATGTGAGGGTCATCTGGAAGGATGGTAGAATTAGCTACGCCTGAAACTTAGAAGACTCCTACTTTTCAGATTGTGATCCATAGTGGTGCTTTGCATTTTTTAGGGACTGCACGTCTGCCCCTTTAGCTGACACTTTAATTGCTTTAGGGATGAACTGGTCCCTTATATCTAATATCCATCTAAATCACTTTGTCAGTTGCCTATTTTGGTGGCATGCTGATCATTATAAGATGGAAAATGGTTTCCTTTAGATGATACATTGCAGGTATCCTTTGGTGTAGGGGATTTTAAAGACTTGAAGTTAAATTGATTCATATTTTGTTTGCAGAAGATTTTTTATTTTCAAAAATCAATGAATAATGCATTGGCTAAGACAAATTTTATGTAAAGTGGACTATCTATTGCTGATTGTCACAGTGTGGTTGTGGGACTATATGTACAATTGCCCATTTTCTTTTTTAGTTTTTCCATGTAGCAATGAATTCATGAATCAAACTGAAATAGGTGTTATTGTTCCATTAGCTTTAGGTTTCTGAGAGGTTTGCATCTGTGATACTCATCGTGGTTCTGTGTTTATGGTCCTGTTTTCATGTTTCTTGAATATTTACTCACATTCAGAAGCTTCATTAATCGAGTATGCGATCTTCATTTGTTCAGGATGATATGCCAAAGCCTGGTCAGCCTGGTCAAGCTCCTCGTCCAGGTGTTGCCAATCCTGCTCGTGCTTAAGGCTCTTGAAGTTCCTGATGTTTGTTTTGTTTTAAAATGACTTTAATTTTGCGGACTTGGAGTTGTGTAGGAAGGTTTTGATTGGTTAAAGTTTAATGTAATTTGACACTTTTGTGAAGCTATGAATTGTTGAGAATACTAGTTGGAATCTCAATTTTTATTTAGTTGCTTATGGTTCTCCAAAATAATTCTCACTTGTTCTTAAAACGTCACTTGCCCTTTGTGGTATAGGTCATTTTTTTCACATAAAAACTGTATTTCCTCGTGTTAAAAGATTTTGAAATGATGTGTATATATGCATATATGGAACAAATAGCATTTGAGAGTGCAGAGGTTGATCCCAGTTACACGAGTTAAAGTTGTTTGTTTTTAGGGGTTTCATGGGTTACCAGTAATGTGTTATGCTGAAAGTATTAGAGAGAACTTAGATTTTGTTTTCTAAATCTCTAATATTCACAATTTTAGTGTCGCAAATAGGCAATGTTGAGAGCATTATTGAAAAAGCGTCAGATTGGAATTTCGTTAAATACAAATTATTTAGAATGTGTTTCACCTATGTTGAGCTGGTTAGATGATTTGAACAATTTCTGAGACAAACTCATTCAAATTGCCTAGAATTCAACAATTTAGGTTCAATTGATTCCACTGTGGTGGATTGATGACTTATCAGCACAAACTGGATTGCCGCTCTCTCTCTCGTTCTATTACGTACTTGATTCCTACCTCTCTAACAAAGCAAGACTGGCAAAAGCTGACCCAAAGCTAAGCCTGAACAACTCAAGCCATCCAATCAGAATGTCCTGTCCAAGGCTTCCCAGGTTCAAGGCCAAAGTGCAATGCGCTTTTCTTCTTCAAATGAGCATCCATGACCACACTTCTCAGCTGCAGGCAAAGGAACTAGGTGCAACTTCCACTTCCAGAGCTGTTACAGGCTTATGGTTAATGCCTTAAAAACTTGAAATTTTCGGCACCCATCTAATTTTTTGGCCATCCTGATTCATCTTGCCATGGGACAGTCTGTCTTGATTGTATTGGAGGCAGTGTGTGATTTACTTACAGCTTATCCCTCCTGCAACAAAAACACCCACCTGACTGCTGGTTTTGAGCAACGAGACAAACATTCTAACAATCCTAGAATCATTCAGTATTATCCTACCTCAAAAAAATCACCTTTAGAGATGGCTCAATCAGCCAATTTAACAGTTTGGGAATATTGAATCAAGAGAACCGAATGGAAATCAGGGATCCATTCTGCTAAACAGTCTTACAGGTCATTCTAAACATTAAACCTAGCTTTATTCTGATTTTTGTTTTATTGCTAAACACCCTCCCCATCGTAAAGCAAGTATCATCTAGGTCTCATGATAATCTCAAGTCTATAAGAGGCAAAGCATATTCTCTGCTGCCTAATTGTAGTTCAAATGCTTGTGAATACAGAACAGAGGTAGAAGTAGAAGACCTTGTGATGGGTGTTCATGATAATCCATATGGAAGGGGTATTTGTTTGTGCACGACTTGCCACCTGACAAAATTGAATCGAAAATCATTAACTAATTATCAGGGCAATTCAAGTATAAAAGTATATATTTTGGGCTAAAAAAAAAAAAACATGCGAGGGACCTCATCCAATTTGATGTATCCAAATGGTAATCTAGGGTCACTTTCTTCCAACATCTGTTTCAGAAGCCTTTCTAGAACAGTTCCTGTACTATTTCCCACCCATCCCACTGCTCAGCTAAATTTGACATTTCCCTGATATAAGCCGCACTATGAAGAGGTCCTGTCAAGAGAGGGCCTTACACAACAAGTGATGCATCATCGTAGAAAAATTGACAGCAAATTTAGCATAAACCTTCAGTTTCACAAAGCAGAAACAATGATTAAGTGGGTCTACAAATCCAGCATTGTTTTGCCATTGCTCACAATACGGGATGCTTCAAGATTAGGAAGGAAGAACTGAAAAAAAAAAAAAAAAGAAAAGGAAAGGAAAGCACAAAGCCACAATATACAAACACACACACACACACACAAATGATGACGTAAGCATGTAATGCAATGAGATTATACTTTTGTGTTACTGCAAGGACATTTGATTTGACTAAGTTCACCCCATGACACTGCTTGAGAATTTCCGCAGCGGTTACAGTAGCAGATGAAACCATAATCCCTGTCAATAATATGAAAACTGCAGAGAAGTACAAATAGAGGAGTAACTTTTAACACAATTGCAATCATATATCACCTGCTGTCCTGTAGCTTACTCTACAAACCGGTCCATGGTAAGAGTAGTACCAAAAAAGTGAGGTAACACGATAGCTCAGCACAGAAGCCTCCCCCACAGCACCACCTATAAGGATTCGCGAACCAAGCTCATTCGCATGCGGCATCGGACGAACATATGTTCCCCTGCTAATGAACTATACGTACACAAAAACGGCCATAATTATCCCAGCAGAGACCAATAAAACAGAAAGTGTTCAATGATACGGGTAATTATGATGCCTAAACTCTCATTCATGTTGGAGCACACAAGGGCTTGAAAGAATATTATAACTACTTTGTTGTATTTATCTCGTATTAGTAGACTAACAAAATTATTATATATCGAATTATATTAATTAATATCAATTAATGAGTAATTATTATAATATCATATTGTAACATACCGAAATTGATAGTATAATTATCGTTTAAGTGTGATTTCAATTTAATTTTGTATTTGGATCTAAATTGAAATGAATCAATTTTGAGTTATATGTTAAAAAAATCTTTATTCTCATCTTTATATATATATATAAACACGAGGTCGGTCCATTAAATTTCATAATTTCAATTTCTAGAGGTAGACAACAATTTTTTCTCATTTCTTGTGCAAGTGGCCGTTCAAAGCTTGAGAAGCAGCATCGAAAAGCACAAGATAGGGGCAACACTTTTGTGAATCTCAATTAAGCAAAATTGAGCTCTCTCCCGCATCCAAATCAATTTTAATTTCAGTTTAAAATTATATTAGTGACCTAGTGAGATTTCAACCAATCTAACATATAAGTTTACGTGAAACAACTTTCACACGAACATATTAAAATTCATAATTCACCACTCAAAAGGAAGTGTTTAGGGTTTAACAAATAAGAATTTTTGGTGATCAAGTAATGTGCTCTATAAATATAAAGTGGGCCTTAACCTTTAGAACTTGAGATTGAGTTATAATTATTATGTAATCTCTACGTTGGAGATAAGTTTGTAAGGACATAAGCCAAAGAAAACACTAGGTTATATGAGATAAAAGATATTTTATAAGTTAAATACTAAAAAATGTGAAAATTGAGATTGTTTCATGAGTTCGAGATTAAATTTTGTGTTTAATGTTTGATTTAATGATATATAATTGGATTTTTTTAAAGCTAACATTTTGATAAAAATTTGTGTCAAGATTTATTAAATAATTATTTAAATTTTAAGTGGAAATCAATTTTGTATTATAGTAAAATTTTATCGATTAAAAAATTATTTATTAATAAAAATTATTTAAAAATAAATATTTTTAATGAATAAGAGTTTTTAATAAATAAAATTTTTTAATAATTAAATAATAAAGCTTTAAAAATATGAAACGAGTCTTAATCTTTAAAATTATGAAAAAAAAGTTATAATCATTATGTGAAAGATGTTTACAAGAATGTGAATAAAAGTTAGAAAAAAAAATCTAATGGCATGAAATTAAAAATATTTACAATTGATTTTATCGAATTACATTAAATATTATTTTTTATATATAATTCATTTTATATTAATTTAATTATAAAATACGTTTTCGCTTTAATAGAAAATTCCAACAATAACAACATAATAACATCAATTTTTACGAAGAAAGAAAATAAAGGATACAAATAGATAGATTCGTGGAAAGATCATGCGAGACCATATTGAGGCGGCAATGACTTGAACCGAAAGGGTTGAGTTTACATGAATGATTTTTGACTTTTGCATTAGACTTAGATTTACTTGAGAGTTAAGAAAAACCGTTTGGTGGAATGGCCATAAGACTTAGCCATTCAAATAATAAATGGTCTATTTCTTACAGCAGCCACAATTGGTTTTGTGGACCAAGACCTAAGCTCTCTTCGCCTAACCTTGTCGGACCTCTGGGAAAATACCATTATCTAAATGGAAAAATACCATACTGGCAATATCACACGCGTAAATGATTCAAATTTGATAATATTGAGGGTATAAGTGTAAAAAATACCAATCCATAAGCCGGGTTATTTATTATTGATTTGATAATTTAAAATATAATATAAATATAAAATATAAAAATAATATTATTTAAAAATTTAACAATAGTAATATCAAGATTTAACAAAATAAAAAAAATATATTTTATATTTACATATAAATATAAATTATAATATATAATTTTTTTATAAAATATGATATAAATATCTAAATTTTAATATTTTATATGATTAAAATATATGAATTATCATATTTAATTTATGAAACTAAAAAGTTTAACCTTATTCGAGCTTTGCTTTACAAAAAATAAAATTTCAAATTTAGATCAATATTTTTAAGTTATTAAAACTAAGTTTTTATTTAATTTTAATTTTAAAATATAATTAAAAACATTTAAATACTAGTATGTATAAAATTTTTAATTTTTTTTTAAAAATGGCAGGCCTGCTTTAGCCGACTTAATTTAGTCAAACCTTAAATAAAAAATTTGAAATGTCATCGACACACAAATTTCTTTCACTTTTGAATTTTAATGGTATAATGTTAGCTTCAAGTAAGTTGAGATCATTTTTTCTTCCCTTCGTAAGTTTTCAAATACAAATATAAAATTATTAATAAGTGACTAACTTAATTAATTAAAATTTATTTTTTTATAAAAAAAATTTTAAGTTTGAATTTTTAATTTGAAAAACTGATGAATTTTTTATTTTTATTTTTTTTAAATAGAAATATAAAATCATAAGAAATGTCATGAATAATTGATTTTCTTTTTTTTAAAAGGAGCTATCTGTCTAATATGAAAATATTAAGTACCATCTTATTAAGTGACATTTACAACAAGTGGGATGGAGTAAACAACTAATCAGATTGAATCCATTAAACCCATGTATCAAGAGCTCATTAATCTATATTTTTATTGATGGAATCAATAT